CTCCTATCAGCTCAGACAGACCTATTTTATACAGGCACAAGCAAAACTGCAATTCAAGATGATTTTTAAGTTTTGGGTACTACTGTGGCAAAAATCCTCTGTGCTTAAATAGAGAATTTAAAATTGAACAACAGAAAATGATCCAAAGCAAAAATACTGAAAATTTTCTAAGTAATCTATCAGAAAGACTAAAAGGGTCAGGCTTCACTGGTCTCCAGTCAGAAAAAAGCAAAAATAATGAGTGCCTATTGACATACTTCCCTCCGTGTAGAAGACCATACATCTGAAACATTTAGCACAGTTTTGGGCACACAGTCTGCATACAATAAATATTATTAATGAATATATGAATGCATGGGCCCTTACTTTTGAATGGAATACTGCAATCACCAGGTCTTTGTTTTAAACCTTGAGTGATACGGTAGACCGAATACAGCTTCCTATTCTACTCAGACTAAAACATGAAGTCCTTACCATGGCCTGTAAAGCCCTACTTGATCTGCAACCCAACTACTTCTCAGATTCACCTCCCACCCCTCTCCCCCATATTTACTCTGCTCCAGCAACCTGACCTTCTTGTGTCCTCAAACAAGCCCCACGTGTTCCTGCCTCAGTGCCCGTGGAGCAGCTCTTCCCTTTTCTTAGGACGCTCATTCCTTCCTTCTCTGCTCGTGTCACCTTATCAGAGAGGCCCTCTTCACCAACACATATCCAAAACAGCATAACCCTTATCCTGCTGCATTTGTCCTCCTATCACTTATTGCCACCTGGCATATTACGTATTTATTTGTTTATCTCCCCAAACTGGAAAGTCACTCCCAGGAAGGCAGAAACTTTGTTCATTTTGTTCACTGCTATATCCTTTGTGCCTAGAAAGTGTCTGGCACACAGGAGTTCAATAAATGTTTGTTGAATGAATAAATTAATGAACACTGGATTGGAGCTGAGGCAGCTGGATCTAGTCCCAATTCTACCACTAAAAACTTGTGTGACTTTGAACAAATGTCCCCTGACATTCAGCTTCTGAATCTGCAAACGGACTGGCTGGGAAAAGATGCTTCTAAAGCTTCTCCCAGCTCGAACATCCTGTGGGTTCTATAGAGCTGCTTTCTACATCTAACTTTTGTATGAAGCTTTAGCAACACAAAAATCCTTTTTGACAGTCACAAACTATTAGCTCTCTAGGCACTTTATTATGATTGAATACGCTGCTCCCAAGACCCCTGATGAAAACTTCCCCATTCCTTCCAGGCAAGATGGATCCCAGGACTAGATACCTACTTTGAGGTACTTCATATAGACCTTTTTTTCCTCAAACCTCTTGTAACAGTTAATGACATAATTGTGTTTTTCTATTTCTATTTCTCCAATGAGAATGGGAACACCTTGGAACAGTAATGGATTCTTAGTAATTCTTGTATGCCTAGCACCTTGCATGGTCCATGGCAATTAGTAGGTATTCCATGAATGTTTAGTGAATGAATGAACATAGGAAAGTCAAAGTGAAATAGGATCATGACTCATATTAAAAACAGAGACAATCATTCTCCCCTCACTGATGGAGGTGGGCAGAAGATAAAGCTTTGCTGCCAATAATGGTTCATCTGAAAGGAGGTAAGAAACTAAAACTTATTGGGAACTTACTAAAGGCAAGTACTCTTACACATATTCACGTAGTTTATTTAATCCTATGACAACTTTATAAATTAGGAAGTATTACTACCATTTTACAGATGAGAAAATTGAGGCTCTGAGAAAATAGGGAATTTGCCCATGATAGAATGCCTAGTAGGATTCACACTCGGGTTTCTTCATGCCGTATATCATACTCCTATCACTAAATAATATATCAGGAGGGTAGTTCTCTGATTCAATACAAGCATTGACATGTGTAATAGTGAGCTTTTCTGCACTAGAAAAGCATTTTTATAATTAAAGGGAATTTTTTCCTTGATTCAGAAACATGGCTATGGATAATTCCATCTGCCATTTTTGAAAGTGTAAAGAAAAGGTTTACAAGCAGATTACACTTGTGCCTTTTGAATTTTTAAGTTTTTATTCTGATAATAAAATGCACTACCTGTTCATTATAGAAAAACCAAGAAATACAGATATTTTTTAAAATTTTAGTCAACCATTATCCCATCACTTAGAGACAGCCACTATAAACCTTTTTTAACCTTAAGGTTAATAAAGGTTACCATAACTTTTATTATATTCTTCATTATGTTAACCTTTATTAACCTTTTATGAAACTTCATTAACCTTTTAGGCCTTTTTCCAATACATATTTTATAGTGAAATCATTCTAAATTATACAATGAGCATTTCTTTCATATTCAATATGCATACTTCCCATATTGTTAGAAATCTTCATAAATAGCATTTTAATAATGGCTTAGTAACATCACATAAAGTAGATGCAATAATCATTCTGTTACTATTAGGCTACTTCCATTTATTTACTATTAAGTGCCTCTCAGTTTAAAAAAAACCCAGTTTGTAATTTAACTTCTGAGAATGGTTCCAACTGCCAAGAAAATGCAAACAGCCTTTCCATTCAAGACGGGGGGAAACTCCTACTATTATGCAAAGAGTGAGGTCTAGTAATTTTTCAAGGTAGAAGCTAGTTGGAGCTGTTCCAGGTTCACCTACAGTAAGGGTCTCTCTCCTGCACAAGAAGGGAGGTGGTGAAAGTCCAGCAGCAGCTTGGAGGAAGCAGACCCAGGCTCACCTCCGGGTTCTATGACTTGCCTTATACCCTCAGTAAATCATATGCAGCCTCAGTTTCCTCATCTATAAAAGGACAGTCAGCACAGGGTTTAAAATGAGAAAATATCCGTAAACACTCAGCACTAAGACTGGCACAGAGTGGACTCTCTTATAACTCTAAAACTTTGGCAGCAGAGCCAAGAGGAAGGGGCGAAGAAGGATGGGACAGCATTCTTACCTCCCATCCTTTAGAGAATATTCCAAATTCTCACCTAGCCTCAGGGGGAAAAAAAAAAAAGAACTTTAGGCCATATTTGTAAACTTACAACAAAATAGTTTGATTTGTGACAACACCTTGAGATAGGAAAAAGTCGGGGACTCCCAGTTCCCCTGAGAGGTCCTGCCCGCTGACATCTCTCCACTTCTAGCTATGGTTCTCATCTCCTTTCCCCTGGCCTTCGCCATGGTTCAGTCCCTAGACATCTTTCTCTTTGTTACTGTCTCCCTGATCTGAGTCCTTCTAAAACCAACTTCCAGTCTGCTATCAGCAATCCTTCCATAACTCTAGTCTGTTTTCCTAAATCTTGCTCACAAGTTTACTGATTTCTTGTTACCCATGTCATCAAATCCAAAATTAAAAAGTGTGATGGTTTGCAAGGCCTCCACCCCCACCCCATTCCCTCTGGTTGCCCTCACCCTATTAATTCTAATTCTTGCCCTAATGTCCACCTTACCATCTGTAGTCAGAGCAGGCTGAAATTTACTGCAGATAAATCCTATCTTTACCCGAAGATCTTGACCTTTGTTAAAGGGCAATGCAACCTCAACGTGCTTTGAATAACTGTCAGCTGCTCGCATTTTAGAGTAAATGAGTTTGCAAATTCTCTAGGTGGTAAATTTTGGTTGGGCAAAGATATAAGGATCCTGAATACCATTAAGGGGGAAAGGTTATAAAGGCTGGGATTGGCAGATTTCCCTTCTCAGTATTGTCCAGGAATCACAGGTCACTACTCCCTGTTCCGTCTCCCACAGGTACCTTCTCTTCCTCTTTTCCTTTCTGCATCTCCTGCCTACTCACTAAAGCCCAGATCATGCCCACTTCTCAAAGCAGGACCGATCTACACACTCTCTTCCTCCCTGCCCCTCTCATTTATTTAGCACAGAGACTCATACTCCCCATATTGCTAACTTCTTCCATAAAGCCCTTGAGGACAGGTGCTGTGCCTACTTCCCACTTGGCAGTTACTAGATAAATATGTGACCAACATTCCAGACTTCTAAACTGACTGACTAGTCCCCTTAATCGGTGCTACTCCATGGGCTATTTCAACTTCAGCTCTGCTGGCTCTGGTTGGACAGAACTTTTAACTTTGAGTAAGAGAGGCATTCTGAAATGTTGCACATCCATCTGTCCCCTACAAAGCCATTCTACTGATATTAATAGATTTAGGAAAGGACATCACTGACTGACAAAACAAACAAACAAACAAAAAACCCATACCCCAAAGAGAACATGTGAAAGTAGAAACAAATCCAAATAGGAGATGAGTCCTACTATTCTCATTTTAGGGCCTACATGAAGTCTGGGAGATGGAAGTGGAAGGAGACCCATATTTTTAATACAGTATTGCCTAACTGTAATCACATTCATAGAAACGTTGATGTTTGGAACCATGAAAAAAAAAGGATTTTAAGAACAGGGGTTATTGAAACTTATGTTTTTCTCCAAGTAATTTAGGAGCCTTTGTACCAAATTAAAGTCCTCTTACAGCGACCTAGTGCAGGTTCCAGGAGACCTCCAGTCAGTCATTTGAAGGCTCCAGAGCAGCCCTCTCCGTCTCCACCCCCACTTCATATCCCCTTCTCTTCTATAGCTCAGGCTTTTAAGATTGTTCCTATGCCTTGGGCCAAATATAAGCGGTTCAACACATTTCTGCAGTTAGGCAGGACCCTAAGTAAACCCCCAGGAATAAACAAGAGCAGCAAGTCACAAGTTGTTGGGCGGAGGGGGGGGGGGGGCGGAGAGGAGGAGGGGGGGCGGTAATGAACTTTGCTGCTGCAGGCGGGCCTGTCACTCCAGCTGACAGCAAGCACCTTCACCTTCAAGTTTCTTACCAAGGCAGCACCCCCTGAGAGAAAGTGCATAGCTCAGAGGCAAGGCACGCTAGCTGAAAAAGAAAGGGGAAGCGTGCGGAGTCTCCCTGCGAAGCCCCTGCCCTCGAGGCCGCATTTCCAGGCCCGCGGCCGGGCGAGCGCTCGGGCTGTGGCCTGAGAGGGGCGCACGCTACCTGGCGTCCGGCTCCTCCTCCGACTCCGCGGCCGTCTCGGCCTCCTCGCTCTCCGATTCCTCGTCGCTCTCCAGCCTTCGGGTGGCCTCCTCGTCCCCGTCGGAGCCGAGGGGACTCTCCGCGGCGTAGGTGCTGTCGCTGCTCGCCATCGTGCCTCTGCCGGGCCGGAGCCGGAGCTGGAGCCGGAGCCGCCCGCGCGCGCCCGCTGTTCTCCCTCTGACTGCGCCTCTGGCCCCGGCCCGGCTCTGCCCTGCCCCGGCGGGCGGCTCGGGTTCCCGGCCCCGGGGGCGGGCCAGCCCCGAGACTTTAAATAGAAGGCGTCAAAGTTTCGCCACCGAGCTTCTGGGGCCCGGGCTCAGCGAGTTCCCCTCTTCCCCAGCGTCTGCCAACTTCCCCCCCGCCCCGGCCCTCCCCGCCCCAGTTCAGGCAGATCCCTGGCGGCCCTTTGGGCAACTCTTGATCACCATTCCGAAGCGGGGCAGGCTCCAGCTGCACCTGGGACTTGAAAGGAGGAAAGGCACCCAGCCGTGCCGCTCTTCCCTCCAGTGTGGCTTTGGTGTGCTGTATGTTTGGTGCCCAACTACTTGACGGACGCTTCAACCCAACCAAGTAACTACTCCTTACTGAGCAGAGCGCTTACTAGTTCAGGCACTCTGCTAAGGGTCTCACTTCCATTACCCCCTCACAATTCTGCTGTGGCATGTTTAACTGCAATGCTGGTTTTTTAGATCAGAAAACTGAGGCTCAGAAGAGCCTGGGAAGCTGGCTGGCTCAAGGTCTCCTGCCTAGTATGTGATCCTATGGGAAACAAAGCTAGGTCTGCCATCTTCAAGGGCCGTTTTCAACCATTGTTCCTTCATATTGGCTCCTTTTGTGTTGCAAATCAATTAATTGTGTATTCTCGACCTCGGTGACCTGTAGACTGTTTAAGTCAGGGCATTTTTATCTCCCCTAAAAACCTTCAAGAGAAATAATTTTCCTCACATTGGCCAAAGTCTAAGCTCTGTCTGAAGCTCAACCCAAAGGCCCCAGACTTGCGTTGGATCATAGCATGCCCATACTTAAAACCCCTCAATGGCTTCTCTATGCTCAAGGACTAAAGCCCAAGCTCCTTAGGGAAGATGAACACTGGAGAACAACCCACATTTGTCTGGTTTCTTCTTTAGAAGTCAGGATTCCCAACATTTATCAAGTCACACCACTGTGCCTTAATATTTACAGTTCCTTCTGCCTGAAAGGTTTTTCCAACCTTTATTTACCTGGTGACTCTCCATTCAAGATCCCCACCTTTCTCTGATATGCCCAGGTTAAGTTCAATACCCCTTTCGGGTTCCATTATCCTATATTCAAATTATGTTTGTGTCTCTTTCCCTCAGTACACTCTATAAATTTGTTACTCATCTTTTTCCACAACATCCCCATCTCTTACAAGGCCAGAAGCAAAACTTAGCACAGAGTAGACACTTAATGAATGTTGCCTGAAGAAAACAGGACCAGACCTGCTCAGTACATACAACAGATAGAGATATCTTTCTAACAGTTTTCTTTTCATGAGGATGATTTATGGCTAGAATAGCTAACATTTATTTTTAATTACAGCAAATTCTATTCACAGAGTTGTTAAATATGAACATAAGTTAGGTAATATTCACCAGTTACACTAGCTTGTATGTGTGTATTAAGTCTGTGAGGAAAGAACTGCAGATAATTCAGATACAGTATAGAAGTATCAGCTGGTGTGTATGGGAAGGGAAGACAGAGGAGTCCAGTCTTCCAGGGTTCATTAAATCAGGTTCAGCAAGTTATTATCTTAACATGAGCTAGGTTTATCCAACTAGTAATCCCAAATGACTGACTCCTCACCTACGACAAAAAGAATGCAATCATAGTTGTGGGAATCTGTTAAACACTTAACCAAAACTACAGGTAGCTGCTGTATATTCCCTCCATCTAACTCAAAATTTCTTGGGAACACTAATTAAAGTCAAGATTTATTTGCAAAGATCCTACTTCAAACCAATCCAAAATTTAGAACTGCAGTACGGATTACACATTTTTAAGTTTCTAACACTATCTTCTTAACAATGCATGCAAATGAAATGGCCAGATCAATACAAATAGAACATAAAAGAATGTATTATTCACCACACAAAAATTCAAAAATTCGAACTAAAAATAATTTAGAAGTCTAAAAAATTCCCTCATATATTAACAGCCCACTTATCTGACACATCTGTCTATCACAAGGTACATAATCTTAGGCTTCAGTCTATTGATTTAGAAATGGGTATAAATTTATTAACAAATAACTTCTTTATCTATGTGTTACAGCAAGATAGCTAAAAAGTAGCAGCAGCAAGATGAGGGGGTGGGGGAGTGTGTGGCACTGAGCGCTGAGAAAACAGTGGCAATAAAAGAGTCCATACCATGGTAAATGAATGCTAGGGCTTTCTTAGGAAATGTCCCAATACTGTAGAGGTAGAATGCCCTTTGCACTTACACATCCCTGAGAGCTACACAGTATTATCATAGAGTACCAGGACTGTTTTTTATTGTTTTTAATGATTATCAGAGTCATCACTAGAATATTAATTATACTCAGTACATTCTGATAAAGAAGAGTTGCACAGTGTATATTTTAGGAAAATTACCAAGAAAAAGAACTGATGTATAAAAGCTTCATTGCCTCAAAAGTGTTAAACACGAGTAATCTAAAAAATTCACCTATGTGGAAAGCTTCATTCCTAATAATGCCAGAGAAATACGGTGTTGATGTGGTTAGCTGCTTAACCAAGAATGAACTCAATTCCAAGATTCTCTGTACCATCTATATTATCAAGCATAAAAGACAGATTCAGTTCGGTTCTAGATGAGAATTACAGCCTCAATCTCATCGCAAAAGATTAGCACAGAAGAAAAAAAAAACACACCAACAATGTCCACATATAAACTTTATTCCATTTGACATCATACAAAAATTTAAACTTAAAGAAGAAAATGAAAATATGCACCTTTACAAGTCAAAGAAAAGCAAAAGTCTTAGCATTTGAATTGGTCTGCAAAAAACCCAAATACATTAGAGGTACAAACTGTGCTACAGCAGGTCTAAAAGAAGTTGTACACAGTCCTTCTGAAAAAGTTAAAATTGTTTTCAAGATTACTTTTCATATTTAAATGTACAGGCACTGACCAATTTACAAATATTTACATAAACCAAAAACAACCTTAATAAAACACTGTAGCCTTTTTTTAGCAGCTACCACTACTTCTTCGTATGGAAAAAAAAAATACTAAAAAAGTTGTCTTTACAAACATTAAGTTTTTATTTATAATAATTTTATGTCTTACCTAAAACATTTTATAGTGGCTTACTGCCTAAAAATTCCAGTTTAGATTACAATCCTATAACCGTATACAGAAGAAATCTGATACCATCAATAGGATATAATCTCAACTTTGATCTTTCCCCAGTTTCTGATGCTTCATGTCACAGGGAAAATAAAAGCAAGAAAACATGAAATAAAGTAAAAGTGCACAATGCACTAAACTATCATAAAGCACAGGGGACTTACAATCTTTTCAAAATGTCTACAATGAACTAATTCTTTAAAACAATTTACTAACTGCTGAACAATACAGAGTTAGTGCTCATATTACTACAGTGCAAAATGTACTGTTTTCAACAAAAAACTTAAAGCAATCTCAAGAGTACATCAAAAGCATGTGAGGTACTAATGAAATGCTAATATAGACACACCCAAAGCCTCAGTCTATCCTGGTGAGTCAAGTGAAGACTTAAGGCAATTGTCCAGTATTTCATGCTTCTGCAGTGATTTCAGTGAAATAACAGATTTCATTTTGCTTCAAGTAACTGAATAACTGGCTTGAATCTTCACTTTACTAGAATAGACAGGCAACAAACTATCTACTGTACATTATACGTTAAGTATGTACGAATCAATCCCTTTCCAAAATTCCACACATATCTTCAGTATTAGCATGTGGCATACTTAATTGAAGTTATATCAAAAACCTTTTATTTGTTCAGATAATTCCCCCAAAAATATTTTATCTGATCTGAAAATTCATGCCATAATATTCCTAATCAATGTAAACATTTTCAAAAATACATCTTTAAATCAAAGGGTTTTCTTAGGAAATGTCATAATAAAATATGCAATCTTTATATAAGTATGTCCTCTTAAAAATAAAACATGAAAACAAGAACAATTAAAAAGAAACCATGGAGGTAAACAAAATGCATTATGATGTTACTATTGTTCTTTATTTCTCAGAAGATTTTATTAAGAAATACAGGCCAGTTATCTTTTCAGGATAGCAGCTCTTAAAGGTAGTATACTGTTCAAATCTCTTTTGTTTTTCAATCTGTGCCACGACTGGGAGAGAAAGAAAAATCATTCTTAAAACATAAAATATAAGTGGAACAAAAGACTGAAATGAGAGTTACTACGAATGTTAAGTAGTGGTTCTCTCTAGGTGGTAAAATTGGGGTAATTTTTTTTCTTTGTGTTTTTTTATCTCCCAAGTTTTTAACATAGTAAAAGTATTGCTTCTGCCATCAGAAAAGAAAATGTTATTTAAAAACTCTATACCTGTGTGATTCCAATTCATTAAAAAAGAAATGGACACAGAGGTGGTACAAAAAGATACAACTGACAATATTAACACCAAGACATTAATTATTCAGAGATTTAAACTATTTCATCTACAACAGCAAGGCAATGAAGACAAAACCTTTGGGTTTGAGAGCGTGTGAGAAAATTACTTCAATTACTTGGTTGACTAGTTTGCATCTAGTAAGCTTTTTCAATCAAAAACAATATTATGGAGAGAGTAAATCTCAAATAAACCACTTTATAGTTTTGAAAAAGAAGAGTAAATATATAACTTGTAAAAAAAAAACAAAAACATTCTATACACAGGCTAAAACTCTGGCTCACTACTTGGTGACTGCATATCTTTGTAGTTTAATTCTCACTTCAGTTGTTCAATTGACTGAAAGTATTGGTTTTATAGCTAATCAATCCTAAATGAAAACTCACGCATCAACAATGTAGCAATGATGTTTTTGAGTTCTCAATTTGTTCTGATAGACAAAAATATTCCCTCTTGGATATTTGTTTTGCCCTGCAGAATTCCATTAATCTTAATATTCTAATCTGGCTGACAAACTGAGAGGGCCTAATGTGGAAGGATAGCTTGTAATATGATACACTTGCATTTTTAATTATCATCAAAATGAAGTCCACTTGTATGTCTAATGAGAAAGTATTCCTCTAAAATAACCTTGATAGTTCACTGATCTTTTTCTTCAATGAAGCATTCTCTCCTATATGTCTCACAGTATATATTTCCATCAATGTTTCTACACTGTACTGTGGAACTCCTTGAAGAAAGAAACCACACCTAACAAAATCACTGATGAATCAATTCATACTGTAGACCAAAGAGCCAAATAATAAATGACAGTTTACATACATATGGCTGAAGTTTATATATACAAAATGTGTGGGTATACAAACATACACATTGATTTTCTTTTAATTTCTCAAAATATAAGCAAAGATAAAAAGGTACTCAGGTTCACTGTTACAGTGGGGTATGCAGAAGAAAAATCATGGAACAAACATCAGCCCTCTTCTAAAGCTACACTAAGTTCCTTGAAATTTTAAGGAGAGAAATGAGTCCATTAGGTTTTACTCACTCATTCTGAGAGCTTAACTGGCTCACTAAGGAAATGCTTACTTCCATCAGAGTGAAAGCCATGTGAACAAAAACAGTCAGATTTCTCTGAAGGAAAAGTGTATCTATCAATCAAGTAATAAATTTCCTACTGTGCCACTTTAATGACTTCATAACACAGGAAACGGCTATTATGTTCTATTATAAATATATTTTTCCATTTTCAAAGCATACTATTACACTAATGTTTCTAGAGTTAATCTGATGCATTATTTACCTTTAAAAATTGATCCTTGATCATGTCAAATTTCTGCTTTTCATGCACAGCTCTGGCTGTATTTGTTCCATCAAAAGGTTCTGCAATGTTAAATGTACATATAAACAAGAAATTATTAAAATTAGAACTTCAGTTTCTATATTAGGTTTAACTATATGAAACTGCCAATATTTGACAGTTTTTAACCTACAAAATAGCAACTGCATATTGTGAAGCCTAATCTCTTATCAGATATATGCATCTAAAAATAGTTTTAGGGGCGCCTGGGTGGCTCAGTTGGTTAAGCGTCTGCCTTCGGCTCAGGTCATGATCCCAGGGTCCTGGGATCGAGCCCCACATCAGGCTCTCTGCTCAGCGGGAAGCCTGCTTCTCCCTTTCCCACTCCCCCTGCTTGTTTCTGCTCTCGCTAACTCTGTCAAATAAATAAATAAAATCTTTAAAAAAATAAAAATAAAAATAGTTTTATTATGAACTGTGTTCTAATAAGGTAGATACAATTCAAGAGAGAGGATAACTAAAACAAAGTCATCAGCATAGGTATGTTAATTCTAAATCACAAAAGTGAGTAAGAATTCTGAAGAATCACAGAGGGTCAAGGACCTATCCCTACCCTAAGGGAAATAAAAATAAGTTAAATAACAATTATCAGAAAGAATAAAACACTACACACAAAAAAGGTGATCAATGTCAAATACCACAGAAAGGTAATTTTAAATTTAATTTTAATTTAAAAGACCACGATCTGTCCAGCAGGAGAACGGTCACTAGCTTTCAAAGTAGAGGTTTAATACTCAGGAGGATAGAAAACAGTGCAGAGTTATGGTGTGAGTAGGTGGTTTAGAAAAAGATACAGTGAGTACAGTAACTTGTAGGAGAAATTTGGCAGTGAAAGGAGAGAAACAGGATAGCAAGTACAGAAGACAGAAAGAAAACAAAGGAAAAGTTTTTATGTGTGTTGTGTCTCCAACATTACCTTCCACATCTTCACCCCCACCCACTAACCCTTCATCCACAAGGTAAGAGACAAGAGTCCATATACAGACATAAGGAAACTATCTATATGAGAAGGAAGGAACCTGAGGATGCTAGTGAGCACAGGAAGATAACTAAAGGCATTAAAATGAGATGAGATAGCTGAAATAATGCCAAGAGTAGGTAAAAATGACTAGAGTTTAAGAATTTTGGCACTGGGGGTGCTTGGGTGGCTCTGTCAGTTAAGCATCTGATTCCTGATCTCAGCTCAGGTCTTGATCTCAGGGTCGTGAGTTCAAGCCCTATGCTGGGCTCCACATTGGGTGTGGAGCCTACTTAAATAAAAAAGAATTTTGGCACTGTAAAAGAGGGAAAAAAAAGTACTTACAAGAGCCACTAAAATCAAGAGTATTTTTCAAGGATGAGAAGACCTATGTATGCTCTAAAGCTGAAAGAGAATGTGACTAGAGGGAAAGAAAATGAAGGCGCTAAAAGGAAAAAATGCAATTTGAGGGGAAAGACCTGGAAAAAGCATGGAAGAATAGGAAATCTGATGAAGAGGTTAACTCTAGATTTGTCAAATAATCTAATCAGGCCCATAATTTAAAAAAAAAAAATCCTCCTTTTGTGTATATATATATTTTTTATTGCTTACTAAGGCCATTTTTAAAAGGAGTTGATTGTCACAGTATAGGATACATTGTTTTACTGCACTTCACTTTACTGTACTTCGCAGATATTGTGGGTTGTTGTTTTTTTTTTTATAAATTGAAGGTCTATGGCAACCCTGTGCTAAGCAAGTCTAGCAGTGCCATTTTTCCAACAGCATTTGCTCACTTTGTTGTCTCTATCACATTTTGGTAATTCTCCTAGTATTTCATACTTTTCATCATTATTGTATCTGTTATAGTGATCTGTGATCAGCTGTCTTTGATGCTGTTATTATTATAATTGTTTGTGGGCACCATGACCACACCCACACAGGATGGCAAACTTAAGAAATGCTGTGTGTGTTCTGACTGCTCCACCCAGTGGCCGTTGCCCCATCTCTCTCCCTCTCCTCAGGCCTCCCTATTTTCCCTGAGACACATCAATACTGAAATTGGGCCAGTTAACCACACAATGGGGCGCCTGTGTGGCTCAGTTGGTTAAGCGACTGCCTTCGGCTCAGGTCATGATCCTGGAGTCCCGGGATCGAGTCCCACATTGGGCTCCCTGCTCGTCGGGGAGTCTGCTTCTCCCTCTGACCCTCCCCCCCTCATGCTCTCTCTATCTCATTCTCTCTCTCGCAAATAAATAAAATCTTTAAAAAAAAAAAACACACGATGGCCTTGAAGTATCCAAGTGAAGTGAAAGGAAGAGTTACGTATCTTTCACTTTAAATCAGAAGCTAGAAATGATTAAGCTTGGTGAAGAAGACATGTTGAACATCAAGACAGGTCAAAGCTAGGCTTCTTGGGTAAGTTAGCTAAGTTGTGCATGCAAAGGAAAAGTTCCTTATGGAAATGAAAAGATGAAAAGAGCTACTCCAGTGAATACAGGAATATGAAAGTGAAACAGTCTTACTGCTGATATGGAGATAGTTTCAGTGGTCTGGATAGAAGACCAAGTAGCTACAATATTCCCTTAAGCCAAAACCTAGTTTAAAGCAAGGCCCTAACTCTCCAATTCTATGAAGGCTGAGAGAGGTGAGGAAGCTACAGAAGAGAAGTCTGAAGCTAGCAGAGTTTGGTTTATGAGGCTTAAGGAGAGAAGCCATCTCCATAATGTAAGTGTAAGGTGAAGCCGCAAGTGCTGATGTAGAAGCTGCAGAAATTTATTCAGAAGATCTAGCTAAGATAATTCCCGAAGGTGGCTACATTAAACAACAGATTTTCCATGTAAATGAAACAGCCTTATATTTGAAGAAGATGCCATCTAGGATTTTCATAACTAGAGAGAAGTCAATGCCTGGCTTCAAAGTTTCAAAGGACAAGATGATGCTCTTACTAGGGGCTAATGCAGCTGATGACTTTAAGTTGAAGTCAGTGTTCATTTACCATTCTGAAAATCCTAGGGCCATTAAGAATTATGCTATTTATGCTCTATCTACTATGCTTGTGCTCTATAAATGGAACAACAAAGCCTGGACGACAGCACATCTGTTTACAACATATTATTTTAAGACCTACAATTCAGAAAAAAAAATTCCTTTCAAAATATGACTGCTCCTTGACAATGTACTTGGTCACCCAAGAGCTCTGATGGAGATGTACAATGAGATTGCTGTTTTCATGCCTGCTAACACAATATCCATTCTGCAGCCCATCAATCAAGGAGTAACTTTCAAGTCTCATTACTTAAGAAATATATTTTGTAAGGTTATAATTGGCCATAGATAGTGCTTTCTCTATGGATCTGGGCAAAAGCCACTGAAAACCTTCTAGAAAGAATGCACCATTCGAGATGCCATTAAGGACATTTGTGATTCATGGGAAGAGGTCAAAATATCAGCATTAACAGGAGTTGGAAGAAGCTGATTCCAATCCTAATGGATGACTTTGAGGGATTCAAGACTTCAGTGAAGGAAGTAACTGCAGATGTGGTGGAAATAGCAAGAGAACTAGAATTAGAAGTGGAGCTTGGAGATGTGGCTGAATTGCTACCATCTCATGATAAAACTTGAGTGGATAGGACCTGTTCCTCAGAATCTACTCCTGGTGACAATACTGAAAAAACAACAAAGGATTCAAAGGATTAAGAATATTACATAAACTTAGTTGATAAAGCAGGGGCAGGGTTTGAGAGGATTGACTCCCAATTTTGAAAGAAGTTCTACTATGGGTAAAATGCTCTCACATGCTACAGAGAAATCATTTGTGAAAGGAAGAGTCAATTGATGCAGCAAACTTCACTGTTGTTTCATTTTAAGAATCCATAGCCACCTCAACCTTCAGCAACCATCACCCTGATCAGACAGCAGCCATCAACACTGAGGCAAGACCCTCCATCAGCCAAAAGATTACGACTTGTTGAAAACTTAGATGATGGGTAGAATTTTTAGCAACAGTCTTCTTAAATTAGGATATGTACATTATTCTTTTAGACATAATGCTATTGTGTACTTAACAAACTACAACATAGGGTAAACATAACTTTTATATGCACTGGGAAACCAAAAAAATTCATGTCTCACTTTATTGCGATACTTGCTTTATTATGGTGGTCTGGAACTGAACCCACAATATATCCAAGGTATGCCTGTGTTTTTTAACAGCGTAATGCCATATGCCAAGCTATTGGATCACATCACACACAGCACTTTACAAGTATTTAATATTCAAAAGAACACAAGTAACTAAAATAATATACACCCACTGTGTAACAAACCAACCACCAAAGCAGGAAATTTAATTTCATATTCATAAACTCTTAAGATGTTGCATGTAATCCAAGATTAAAACATTCTAAATGTGATGTTTTCCTACAAATGCTGAACTTAACGCTTTATTCTTTTTTACCTCAAGGTTTACAAGTCTTCAATTTAGCATCAGTGAGAATAATTGTGCTTCTTGAAGTCAATTTCCCACCAACTCAAAGAAGTATTCAACTATACGTAAATTAATTTTAGAGAATTATCTTCAGGGCATTTAATTTTTAAAGTAAAATAAATTTCTATTCATAAAAACCTAGCTTGCATTAAATATCAATGTTTTAATTTTAAAAGAACTCATTTTATCTTAATGTAAGAATCATCACATGAAGGTAGTATTTTCTTCTACCTTCAAGTCATGAAATTAAGCTTCAGTCAACTACAAGCAGGAGGGATGCATAAAAACTGCTCAAATATTATAAACTAGAAGATTAAATGCCTAAATTCATATTTATCATTTTTACAGCTAAAGAATTTACTTTTAAAAATTAAATGAAAATACTCGGCCATAAAAAAGAATGAAATCTTGCCATTTGCAACAATGTGGATGGAACTAGAGAGTATTATGCTAAGTGGAGTTAATGAGGGAGAGACAAATACCATATGATTTTATTTATATGTCGAATTTAAGAAACAAAACAAACCAACACAGAGGGGGAACGAAAGAGAGAGGCCAACCAAGAAACAGACCGCTAACTACAGAGAACAAACTGATGGTTACCAGAGGGGAGGTGGGTGGAGGGATGGGTGAAATAGGTGACGGGGATTAAGGAGGGCACTTGTGATGAGCATCAGGTGTTGTACGGAAGTGTTGAAGCACTAACTTCTACACACCTGAAACTAATATTAAACTATAACTGGAATTTAAGCAAAAAGTTGGAAGAAAAAAAAAGAAAATTTTATAACTAAAAGACTTTTAAGTCAGAACATAAATGTATTACTTTTAACTGAAATACAAACTGGAATTATTCAAGTAATTCTCTCAGTACCATGGTGATAACCAGATGGTAAATAAGTAGTTGTGGAAAATCTACCTTCTACACAGATGTATTTATTTCTCCATTCAATACCATCAGGCCTGGGAATGGCTTTGGCTTCACGAACTGAAATCATTTGACTGTTCCAGCTACAAGAAGAAAAACATAACTGTTAACTGTATTCTTAATTTTCCCTTTTATTGTATTTATTATATAATACTAAGTCCCACTCTAATTTTCTCACAAAATACTGAAACTTGCCTTGACCCTCAGCACCATAATCCCTTTTCCCCTTCTCTTTTCTCCACGGCACTTATATTCTAACAATTTGCTTATTTAGTATGTTACTGTTTACTGCATATCTCGCCGAAGCAGAATGAAAGCTCCAAGATGCTGATTTATGTATTTTTTCACTGTTCAAATAGCTGCTTAGTATAAAGGAGGCCTTCAATACATATTTATTGAATAAATGAAGTAATATGAAAAATAAAGCGTAAGTAAGCAAAAAATGTAAAAATTGTTACATTTCTGTTACAATTCGCTGTTAGCACCTCAGTAAGGATTTTTTATTTGTTAAGAGAGATGCAATCTTGTGTTGTTTTCTGGTATCATTAAATAATTTTTGTTTACTGCGCCACTTGTATGATTTGGGAGAAAATTTTATAATTATCCAAGAGAAGCCAGTAGATGCTGTTTTAGGAAAAATTAATACTCTATGAAAACATACTGTTATTGCTATATAGCAGATGTAGCTCTTAACAGTAAAGTTATATTCAAGTAAAACAATTTTTTATCAGCATGTCTGAAAGTAATTGTTCAGTTTTTAGTATGTACTAACCTTATATTTTGTTTTTTAAAAATTTCTTTACAATTATAATAGTTCTGCACAAGTACAATTTTCTTTTTCTCAAGGAACACTGTAAAACGTATGACCATTCAGTTTGTATTTAAGAGACAAATGAGTTTGGAAAATAGTTAATATCTCTATTTTCAGCCATATTTAGCTTTGTCCACCATTTCAGTAAGAATAAAAAGACCAAGGTTTGGGACCTTCCAACTCCAACATTTATCTTACCCTTCTTCTACTTATCAGATGAAAAAGAACCCCTAGGAATATAATTGAGGGTCCAATACGGCATTTGTTTCTGGAAAACTGATTAATCTCTATGTAAAATATGCAAAAAAACATTGCATCTTGTGAAGTTTGATAATTGAAAAGGATCCTCAAAGTATGATTTTCTATTTTTTCTTATGAGGAGTACAATTTAGAAATACTTTGCAAAGACAGCTTTAAGTTCTTTAAGAATACATATCAGAATTTATGCTTTTTAAAAACTAAGTGGGTTATCAGTGAGAAACAGTATTAATTACAGTAACATGTTTTAGGTATTTCGTGTACAGCAGCTCCATTAGTATAAACTCCAAACAGAAAAGTACACTGCTCTGTTGGCCCAAGTGTGTTTCCAAAATTTTTTTAAAATAACAATGTAGAGGTGCCTGGCTGGTTCAGTCGATGGGTAGAACATGCAACTCCTGACGTTGGGGTTGTGCGTTCAGGCCCCGCAATGGATACAGAGATGACTTAAATAAATTAATAAATAACTAATAACACTAAAATAAAACAACAATGTCAAGGGGAGAGTTATATAACCACATGCCTGAACCAAACATGATCACGGTTGAATTATACTATGTGCTTTACTTTATACCACTTAAGATATATTTCACTAATAAAATGAACTTTTTTCTTGAGACTACTTGTTTCTCACTGAACTTACAGGACAGTTGAATCTGCAATAAAATTAAAATTGGAAACATTATGTTAAAAAGGGATAAAGCGATTTTTTTCAGACAAGTTTAGAATCTTGAAATACTGTATCCTGCTGCTAAATTACAATTTTTACTTTCTTAAATCAAAGGAACTCTCCTCACCATACTTGTATGAAATCCAATCCAGAATTTATATTACATGCCAATACTTGGTTCTAAACCAGGTGACAGAAACATATGTGACATACCAATATTCACTTTATCATCCCTAAACAGGTATCATTTAAGCTTCAACCTATAATCAACCCAAATAATGCAGTTATTTAAGTGACTGTAACACCTGAAGTACTTCACAGAGGAAAAAAATATTTTAAATCACTATTATTTAGACTGATTCAATCTATTGCATTTTCAAAGCACTTTTAAATATTTCTAAATTACTAAATATATGAAATCATAAAACCTGATATATATAACTTATATGCTATTTTTACTCTTAGAAGTGAATTTAAATGTAAAATTCAAATGGCAATTTAGAAACATTTTCCCTAAATATTTCTTTCTTTAAAACACAGGCCCAAAATTAAGCCTTTTATCATACCATATTTTTCTACCATAATTTGTTTGCCATGTAAAAATCTGTTATTGTCACTCAATAATTGAAATGTAAAATAAGGTATAGTCCATAGAAGAGGAATGTATCAGAAAAGAGCAGATATATGGTTTAATTTAATCTAAAACAGATTTGATAATATATGACAATCTTCTGAATGTAAAACTCGGTTTACCAACCCTACATTGGTTAAGATGTTTGCTTCTTTTCTTCAGTAATGATAATGAACTGCTACTGATCTATTCACTCTCTTCTAGCCATTCTTTTTGTGACTAAGTATTTATTTCAAAATACTATGCTTACATTGGAACATTACAAACAAAAATTTAAGTCCAACAAAGAGTCAAAATTATGGGCCTGAACTATGTGGCTATATATATTAAGCAAGAGTAGTCAAATTAAGTGAACAAATATATACAGTTTTGTTTTATTATTAAGGGCTGGGAAGAAAACAAAAAGAAAATGTCAGGGATTTCAAACCTCGTAAGCAAACAGAAAATTCTGCTCTAATCCCAGAGTTTTGTTTTGTTCTTCTGCCTGACCCTTTCTTCTACCTGACCCCTTAAATGCTGGTGTCCATCAGGGCCTTGCCTCTTTCAATCCTCTTCTAATGCTACAGTACCCCTCCCAAGCTTTAACAGTCTGATGTTTCTTTCCCAAATCCTTTTCTCCAGCTTTGACCTTGCTACTAAGCTCTAGGACAATTATTGCAACTAACAACTGGAAACTGCCGGGGCAACTGGGTGGCTCAGTCGTTAAGCGTCTGCCTTCAGTTCAGGTCATGATCCCAGGGTCCTGGGATCGAGCCCCGCATCGGGCTCCCGGCTCCACAGGAAGCCTGCTTCTCCCTTACCCACTCCCCCTTGCTTGTGTTCCCTCTCTCGCTGTGTTTCTCTCTGTCAAATAAATAAATAAAATCTTTAAAAAAAAAAAAAAAAAAAAAACAACTGGAAACTGCCACCTGGATGTCCTACATGCATCCATCCCCGTGTCCACATTTTCAAGACTGAATACATTCAGTCCATGGTCAGTTATTAAAAATCACTTGCTTGCATACCATCCCCCCAAACTCTCTTACCCTTCTTGCTGCACTGAACTTAGTTGGTTGAAATACAACCATAATTAAGTCTTTGTCTACTTCAATCCTTTCCCCTGCAGCTCAATGTGGCTGGAGAAAAATACGCAACCATGCTGACCTTGAATTCATGATAACTTTAAATTCACTTAAAATTCATGATGACTTAGCTCAAAAGGACCCTAAATGCTACTACCCACCAAACATACTGTATTTCCATAGTTAATTCACTCCTTTACTCTCCTACAGGACAATTCATACTTTCCCTCACTTTCCAAATTTCCTCCCTCACAATCATTCCCAGGTGATGTCCATGCTTCATTTCACTAAAAAAACTAAAGCAACCAGAAGATATTTTCCACTAGCTCCCACATCAATTCAACTGGCATTCCTTTGAATCCATATACTCTTTTACTTATTATTATTAACGCATCATCTGTGCTCCTATCCCACTTGTGCTCTAGATTCCAACCCTTCCTGATTCAAAAAAGCATACTATTCAACAATTTACTATATCTTTTCCTGGTATCATCAATTTTGCCATCAAGATAGGTTATTTTTCCTTTCTAAAAACAAAAACTCGGGGCACCTGGGTGGCTCAGTCGTTAAGCGTCTGCCTTCGGCTCAGGTCATGATCCCAGGGTCCTGGGATCGAGCCCCGCGTCGGGCTCCCTGCTCAGCGGGAAGCCTGCTTCTCCCTCTCCCACTCCCCCTGCTTGTGTTCCCTCTCTCGCTGTCTCTCTGTCAGATAAATAAAATCTTTAAAAAAATAAATAAATAAATAAAAAGAAAAATAAAAACTCAATCCCACTTAACTCTCCAATTTCTACTCCATTTTTTCTGCTCCCCTTTATAAGTATATACACTCTACATATTACTAGTGTCTAAACACTATCCTATCTGTATTTAATTCGTCCCTGTTCACTCTTGAGCCCACACCAATGATGCTTTTTATCCCTATTTTTCCATAGAAACTGCTCCTAATAAAGGTCCAGTGGCCTCCATGTGGACCAATATTTCAATGGTCAGCTTTTAGTTCTCATCTTGTACTCGATCCATCAAAAAATGTGACACAAATAATCACTCCTTCCCCCTCGAGACATTTTTTCTCTTTGGATTCCAAGACAACACATTCTATTGGCTTTCCTTCTATCTCAATGATAGACTATAAATTAGTTCCTTCTTATCCCTAACCTCATGTATATACTATACAATTTATTTGTTTACTGTCTATCTCTCCGTACTACAATACATACTACAATGTAAGCTCCATGAAGACAAAGACTTTTGCCTGTTTTGTTAATTGTCATATCCCCGGTGCATAGAAAAATAGCTTGATATATAGTAGGCACTCAATGATTTATTGATTAAATGAGAGGGAAAAAATCAGTAAGAAAGGAGATAGTCAAAAAAATTGGGCCTTTGTAATTTCCTACTTAAAAAATGTATTTAAGGGGCGCCTGGGTGGCTCAGTCCATTAAGCGGCTGCCTTCGGCTCAGGTCATGATCCCAGCATCCTGGGATCAAGCCCCACATCGGGCTCCCTGCTCCGCGGGAAGCCTGCTTCTCCCTCTCCCACTCCCCCTACTGTGTTCCCTCTCTCGCTGTCTCTCTCTCTGTTCAAATAAATAAATAAATAAAATCTTTTTTAAAAATGTATTTAAGTATGTAGGCATACATTTTTAACACAAGAGATAAGACTAGCAGTAATGGCATGTGATTAGGCATCCAGGGAATAAAAGGATTACAAAATAGGTAACTTTTTAAGGCTCCTAGAATCTCTAGTACCTAGGTGTAAGATATTTAAAACTTATATTTTGTTTTGTTTTGTTAAAATACAAAATGATTACATTCAGACTTTATTTTTTTCTAGTTTCTCTGAGCAACCTGATCCTTTTTTTATTTATCAGTTCCCTGCTCCCAGGTACAGTTCTAGAAGCATGGCTTCATTTTAAGAATTTTCAGCAGGAAGGTTTAGAAGAAAGCTGTGAGTGAAGTAGGTAAGAAAATCTTAGTAATTTTTAAATGGCCATACAAAATTTCTGCAGCATTTATACCATATACTCAAGCATCCCTTAAGAGACACTTAATTCTGTCTTTGAGCAAAGAGAATCTTTTAAATGAATGTCTCAAAGTTCAGAAGAAATCCTTACAAACATTTCTAACAGCTGCCAGAATTCCTTTGCACAGCACCTAGTTGTTAACTGCCATGACTACATTCTTGGCAGTGCTCCCTACAGTCAAATTTCTGAAAATATCTGATATGAAACAATAATACACTTGACAAATGCACTGTATGACGAAAGAAAAGGTGACAATGCCTCCAAAATCATGTATCATAGTGATAACAAACGCATCCAAAAGTTCAACACCTCTTTTGAAGTCTCAGCATCCTAGCCAGTATCATTTGGCACAACCAGCCAGTTTCTGTTAATACTAAACTAATACACAAGCCTGTTCATCTACCTTTTTGTTTCAGTCCAACAAAGCAGTTGGCTTTCAAGGCACTGGTATCTAGATGCTCTAATCCTAAACTATACATGGTAGAAATATACCTTTTTTCTATGAATCCTTTTCCCTCTCTGCAAACTTCACTAATTTACAATAGAAAAGACAATGCCAATATATTCTAACAATTAAGAATGTGGTTCTGGAGTCAGACCTGAGACTGAATCCCAGTTCTCTCACTATCTAGCTGTACTGCCATGGACAAGTTTCAAGTACACAAATTCCCTAGGCCTCACAAGGTGTTACTATGAGGATTAAATAATACACAAGAATCACTCAGCATACTGTAGGACACGAAGTAAATACTCGCGAAACATCAGCTTTTGTTACCGCAGCATCTTACAAATCTTGACTCTAGAATAACCTTTGTAGTCTCTTATGTCCAGTGTCTTATAGTCTTAAATCTTTTCTCATCTTATAAATGAAGGCCCCTTCCTTTTTTTCCTTGTTGCCCGGACTTAAACTCTGGTTTAAGTCTTTAATCATCTTTAATGATGATTATTATAACTTCATTCTTATTGAACTACTTTCCACCAGCACTTTTCCTACGTTTTTTCTTAATCTGATTCAGTAATTTTTAAGTCATCTTTAAGGATCTTTGCAACATGTCTATAATCTTACCCTCCGTTCAAAATTATTTATTTATAGCAAGAATTTTTCAAGTACCCACTGTCTGGCACTGGGCTAGGTAATGGAGACTAAACTGTAAACAAAACAGACACAGTCTGATGAAAGCTTTGCGCTGAGGGATTTAAGTAACATTACTTCTTTCATGCCCTATGTTTCAAATCATCTAAGTTTCTTTAGAGCTACTGCATCATAGCAAACAAGGCAATACCAACACTGCAGTAAAGCACCATAGTTAAGAGTATTAATTTTGCAGTCAAAACTATCAGAAATACTCCCCCTGACTAGCTGTGTGATCTTATGGCAAGTTTCTTCACCTCTCTCTATATACGCTTCACTGGTAAAATAGGCATGATATAAATATTGTAACATATGGCTAGTATGTAAATGAGAAGATACAGATAATCTGTTGGGAACAGTTTTTCCCAGCTAGTAATAACAATTTATAATGAATGCTATCATTATTCCCCTCTCCAAATCTTTTCAAAATGGTACCCTGTGGTAACCATGCCCTCCTCCTCTAACTTTGTAAAACTCCTAAGTCCTTTCTCTTTCCCCCTTCAAACCTTTCTAAATTGATCAGAAGAGCTGCAATTCCTAACCCCACTCTATCTGGACTTCTAGAACTCCCTTAGGAACATTCAGTTAAGTCCAGTCTAATTATACACTTCAGCGTTCCATGTTTACATATCACCCTCAGAAGAAAGGGGAAAAAAAAGGAGAGTGTTCCTTGATTTTTATATACTAACTATTCAGATATCAAGGAGATCTTTTTCCATGTTTGTCTTAGCTGTGCTTTTTACTATAAATCTTAACTTCCTAAAAACAGAGGTTTCAAACTATACAGCACCTATACATGGCCAACACAAACATTTATTCAGCCCTCCTATGAAAAGAGGGAGCTAAACATAAGACAGGATGGCTACTGTAGGCAACTAAAACTGGGCTTACTGAACTATCATTTTTCATTAGATAGGAATATAAAATCTATTTAGTTTCTAATAATTAATCACTAGATATTAAATTTTATAAATCACACATTTCTGGACAAGTTTGTAGCTTCTGACCAAAAGTGTAGCATTCACATATGTAAATGAATAAAACACAATCTGATGTTTCACTTACTCAAATTCTGTAGCATAATATTTAAGAAAGCCCAGTAAGAGGTCCCCAAGATTTGATTCATTCTTCGAGAGGTAAGGAGGAACATTACATGGAGCTTGATGTACAAGATGCAGCTGTACAGCAGGACTAAAAGATTCCTGTCAAAAAGAAAAAGGGGGAAATATAAAGTCATTTACAACACACACTAAAAACTTTACAAATCCTGACCTAATGCTCTCTGAAGAAGAGACGAGAAATCTTCTTTATGTTGGCAGTTTGGAAATTTGAAGATTTTCTTCCACTAAAGATTTCACCGGTGTTTGCAGTATGCGAGAAAGTACCCAAACCTTGGCTGAGGTATATCACGCATTTAACCAAGAGGACTACAGTAGCAGAAGATTTTTTAACTCATAAATAAATCCTTACTATACGTACCAAGATTTCATCAAATAACAGAGATTCCTTTATAAATGTTCCTCCTTCTTAAGTGCCTCTACAAGGAGCAGTTGTACTTTGTAAAGGCTGTATCAAGCATAAGGTAAGAGCATTTTCTAACTGCCACTTAAAATTTCTCTTAGAGGCCATAAAAGTAGTATATGAATAGTACTTACACCAATTTCAAGATTTTTAAATTTTTGTTTTATTTTTGTATTTTGTATCTTAATGGGAAGAGAAGACAGACATTCAACATGAATTGAACTTGAAAAGACATAGATGGCAGGGAAAAGAAGAATGATAGGAAACTAAGCAGCAAGCAATATTCAGCAAACATTTACCACAACATTCATAAGGGAAGGTATCATTTGCTTGTAATCCACGCCCAAACAACACACTCATTAGAAAGAATACTAATGGGTACTTATTCTTTTTGCTAACTATGCCATTCATATCTGATCCTTCCTCTATTAGCAGCAAGTTCTGGCTCTAAAACATACTAAATGAACTACAGAGATTCTCAAGTAATACATATCCAAATGGCAGAAAACATTCTTCTTAAGGTAATTTGCACAGTTGCTCTTAAGACAGGTTTTCTACATTCGCCTTTGCCATTAGACTAATAATAGATTTTTTTTTAAAGCAACTAGTTAATGGATGACAGCTATTCTTAAGGTTCCCAAATACTTAACAAATCAACCTTGGGTTTACAGTTGTCAATTCAATTAGTAACCCAACTTTAAAAACCAGAGGGTCCCCAAATAACTAAACTGTAATGCAGAGAAATTGAGTAGTGCATCTAGTTAAAGGTAATCCTCAGGAAAAATAAAAGAGCAAGAAAATAAAAAATTCCCTCCCGTCCTATTATCTACAATTCTATCCATAATTTTTAACTACCAAGAAGTGATTACCTTTCTTTCAGAGGACAACCACGGTTCATAAAGCTAACACTCCTAAACTTCGGACCTCCCCTTACACTTCTAGCAGATTTAGTGTTCCATTATAAGACTTAAGTAGAAATCTAAATTGTTTCTAAGACTAGGGGGAGTTAGGGAAGAAGTCTCAATTTATAATAAAGAGTGGAAGCAGAAGGAAGAGCAGGTGTACTGCCTCTACCACCCTTTGTCTTTTACTTGTTCAGTGTAAAACTGAACTTAGGACAGTATTTTAAATTGTAAAATTTAAATTGTAAAATTTCAGTATTATTTTCTGGCTAATTAAACAAAAAGGTTAACCTAAGTTCAAATGACAAGGAAAAGAAAAGCGGGTACTATTTAACAGCTTCCACTCTGAAAGCTTCTTACTAATTTTGACTTCTACGACATAGCACAGTAAGCATTCAATTTATTAACTGATGCTAAAATAAAAGAGTCATTTTCTTACCTTAAATCTAAAACTGTTTAAACCTCTTTTAAAATTTTTATTTCGTTCAATAAGTTAAAGAAAAAGATCAGCAGTTGTAAATTAACATTGAAGAGCTATAAGACCTACTCTACTAAAATGGTGAATGACTTTGAGCCAACAATTTGACCAGTCTCCTCTTAGTGCCACTATTCTTTTTCATGGTCATATACGAAAAGGGCCATGTCATACATACTAGGGGAGAACTGAAGGAGAAATCCAAACTAAAAAAAAAAAAAAAAAAAAAAAGGATCCAAAAGATGCTACAAGTTAACAGAAATTCCATTTAACCATCAGAAATCCCCATTTTTTATAATCATTAACATTACAGAAAGATTCTCTGCTTTAAGAAAAATTTCATCAAACAATTTTCTTTAAAAATGAAGCTCCCCTACTGCATATGTATTTAAGAATAATATACACTACTTTGGATAGGATACGGGTGGGCAAAACTTAAGCTAACATATTAGAAAACACATAATGACCAATCCAAAAGCCAAAGCAATTACAACCAAAATCCATGGAAAACCAATTTAACTGAGAACAATGTAATATCTATTTCTTAAAGCATTTGAGGTGGGGATTACTGATACTTAATGCTGTTTGTTTTTAACATGGGGAAGACATCTTTATTATTTTTTAAGGGTATATCTTATATGGGGTCTCTAATAACCAAATTTGTAATAACTTAATTCCTGAAAACATTTTCCAATTGATATTTAAGTGCTAACATTTTTAAAGATACGTATCATCCTTTTCTTCCCTCAATCAATGCGAAGTTAAGAAAAATTTTAATGGGCAACCCCTTGAAAAACAACTGCAAAGTCTCACTTTTTTGCTCACACAACTGCCTACTAAAAATGGCAAAAACATCTTTTGCCAAATTCCATTATTTTCTGATCTGTGCCATAATATCTTACCTTCAAAGTTTGAAATTTGGACAATTAAGCACTTTCTGGAATAAATTAGATTGGCTAAACTTTCACTTGATAACTGTTCTTTAAAACGACACATGCCTTAGGGGCACCTGGGTGGCTCAGTGAGCTGGGCAGTTGACTCTTGATTTTGGCTCAGGTCAGGATCTCAGGGTCCTGAGGTCTGGCTCTGCATTCAGCACGGAGTCTACTTAAGATCCTCTCTCTCCCTCTCCCTTTGCCCCCTTCTGCTTGCGTAGGCACACACTCTCTCTCTCAATAAATTTATTCCCTATTTTTTTAAAGATTTTATTTTATTTTAGAGACAGGGAGTGGGCAAGCGGGATGAGAGGGAGAGAGGGGGGAAAGCTGACTCCCTGTGTCGGACTCCACACTCAGCTCAGAGTCTACTTGAGAGTCTCTCTCTCCCCCTTCATCTGCCCCTCCCCCTGTGTGCACACACACACACACAATCTCTCTAAATAAATATTTTTTTAAAAAAAGATATATGCCTTAAATGAAGGAGGACTGTTTTCTACCTCCAAGCAAACAAATTTAAGTTACATCCTATTCTAACAATATGAATTGTTAGGCCCTGGATATAAATGTTGAGAAAGGTCTCAAAGAAAAGGATAACTGATATGGAGTACTTAAGCAGACTTCTGAATGAATAGAGAAAGAGCTAAATGATATATTGAAGTTCTACCAAGCTTTCTTAATTGTATGCAGATTACCACTATATGGTGGTAACATGTTAAAGACTGATCATTAAATTCTTTAAGTTATATTTGCTTTTAAAGTTTTTGAAAGCTTTTTTGGAAAGCTTTTAAAGTTTTGTAATCAACATAAGTATCATAAAGTAGAAGTACTATAATGAAGTGGTTAAGAGCATGAGCTTGGGAGTCAGATCTAGCTTTGAAACCTATTAGCTATATGAAATTAATCAAGTTACTTAGCTTTCCAAATGTTCAGCTTCTTCATCTACAAGAAAAATAACAGTACTCATGAACTGTAATGAGGATTAAATGATACAATGTATATAAAGCATAGCAGCAATAGTATTACCTACATATTAATTATTTAGTATATGCCAGGCATCATTATTAAAACTATACAATTCATACAATAATGCAGTATGGTTACCTCCTGAAATAATGTATTATTTCAAAATTAACTTCCTTATAACTTTTAAAATTTAAATAATATCAATTTTAAGAGAATGTTTATCATTAAAACAGACTTCATCAAAATCTTTAAATTCATCTTTTTCAAAGGTATTCATTTATAGCCTGTTTTACATAACTAAAATCCTTCATCATATTATATGCATTTTAAAAATGAAAAAAGTTGCTATATCTATACATGTATACATATGTATATATGTAAAATTTAATATATTTTCAATATATAACTGCACAGAGGAACTCTATATCCTCAGAATTCCTCATCTCATAACTATAAAGATGGCTTTCTGGAATATGAAGATACCGTTAGGGAAAAAAACAAATATAAGTTGTCTCATAAATCTCCACCTAGCATAAATCTAGGTAAAATATGCTCTCATTAAAATAAAGATCCCTTCATAAGCTTAACCTAAGTTTATATATTTAAACTCTCTCAACTTCATTGCTTTAACTCAATAGTAAATATTCTGCTCTGTATCACTCATGTTGCTTTTTTAAGTCGGTAAGAATTAAGTAGTAATAATAATGCTATATTATTATCATATGGCCCAGTGTGGAACTCTTGATTATCCAAGTGCCTTTGGTCATTGGTGGCAGCAAGACTTAATGGTTTTTAGCCAGTGGTGCCGCAACCAGATTTTACTGCAATATCTAAAGGGTCAGGTAGTGACTTTGTACCACTATTATTTCAAATTTAAGTATTCTGCCATGGAACCATCCATACCAGTCTGGAACATGACATATGAAATCTTCAATATTAAGGTCTCTCTCTGCTTGGCAGCTTCTTAGGGGAATAATGAGAGTTGCAATTTTGACTCTTGTGTTTTTAGAATTCAAATGGCATAGCTTTCTGAAATGAATTTTTCAAGTTTAATAGTTGTAGGAGTTTTGTGACTTTAATTTCAGTGTTCTTTTTTGTAAAAAAAAAAAGATAAATATATGACTTTATGCCAGTTTCCCAGTAAGCCTCATATTCTTTTATTCACTACTCAATGATAATATGTTGCTACAAATACTGTCACATAAGTAAATAAAAGTGAATAATTACTTAAAAAAATAATAATGCTATATTATGATATAGCTTTTGAAGATAAAGAAATGGCTAGAGTCTTTCATTCTTTCCTTTCCTAATTTAGTATCCTAACTGAATTGAAATACCATACCCATTTTTAAAATAATTACCATAAATTTGAGAAAATATGAAAATAACTTTAAAAAGCATAACACATTGAACAAATGTTATTCTATTCCAAAGTTTTTATCCTATTTTTTAATTCTATTTAACTATATTAGAGAAGCTCAAAATTTAAAAGAAACTTGTTCCCTTGTAAAATAACAAAGGTTTTTTTTTTTTTGTTACTATAAAGTTTTAAGTCATTCTCAAACTTATTTATACAAGTTGAAATTTTGTCATACATGTTGTTCTTAAAGAAAGGTATATCTATATAGGAACCATCAGATATACACAAAATGTAATAAGCAACAGAAACTATATTAGTGAATAGTACTATCATTTTGTCTTTAAAAATGTCAGTTTCTGGATCCATAATTTGTGACTATACAGCTTGAATTAATAATATAACCTTCCGTAAACTAAGACTTGGTTTCTTCAGCTGTGAATCAAGGATAATACTACACAAGTTTATTTGTTTAGGATTAAGGATAATGCATATAATATTTATAGAGTGCTGACATAAAATAGATACTAAGTAAGTGACAGTTATTAGTAGTAAGAAATAAGCTGATCTGTTTGTTCCATTAGATGGACCACTGAGAAAAGTGCTCTACTGATCAATCAGCTTACAGGTTTCATATAAAATTTAAAATCCTGTAGAGTGGATAGTAAGTCCTTACCCACGTAAGCATCAACCTCATAGTAAAAATAATGTACTTTAAATATTTATGATAATGTAACCACACCTGAAAGCAAATTAAGATATTCTTAAATCTAGCAAGTCTTGCTATTAGTATTTTTTAAGGCTTTGCGCCGGACTACTATTAAATCTATTTCCCTGTTACAGGTATAGAAATAAGATTATTAGTAAAACAGGGGTGGAGAGTATAGGGTGAGAGATGGTACATGTGAAGAGAAGTCAGGACTCTATCATGGGGGAAAGCTAGATAATGAGAAACATGAAACAGAAGTAAAATGAGGCTCCTCAAACTAGAATATACCAGTAAGAACCCGGGTATCCTATAATAAAAGCAATACGTCTGTTCTGTTCTCCAGCACAGTGCATTAAGCTGAGATTTCATTAGTATTTTGTATTAGTAAAAAGAGTTCATGCAGTGAGGGTTTTAAGTGAGATTTCTGTAAAAGCATCTGTTCCATACAGAATAATAGACTCTTTAAAGGATAAGTTTAACTAGTAGATACTTTGTATGCTGAAAAATATACATAGTTCCTTCTATACTGAAACCTAGGTCTTAACAAAAAAATTGAGACAAAAAAATGAAATAGTAACACCCAGTCATTATCTTCCACCTTTCAGTATAAGCTAAAGAAACAATACTTTATTGCAGGGAGAAAACCATTCAAGGATGAGGCCAAAAGTTCAAGTTACTTTTATTTCTATACCTTCTGATGCTTTCATTTTCATTATGTATATGACAGCATAAATACTGATCCCTAGCAATAACTGAAATTCATTGTAATAGTTCTTCATAATAGCAGAAATTAGTTTTCAAAATGAGGAGGATATGATATCCAAATTCCAAAAGATTCTTACAGATGTCTTTACCAGATGACCCACCACAAACTGGGAAGCCCCCACTACACAGCAAAATTCTATTACAGTGAACCTTTTATTATCCAGCACCTTGCATGTATGCATTACAATAATAACCCATGTTCAAAAACAAGAACATCAGTTCTTCTAAATTATCAAAGATTAAGTTAAATTTAATTTAGATTCCACGTCAAGTAGATTTATATTTTCTATGATACAGAGAAGTATGTCCTTTGAAAACTGATCACTCAAGCTCAGTATTACATTTTCCAATTTGACTCTTTAGTAAGTTTAGAAAACAGCTCTTTTTGTAAGTTTATAAAACTAACAGGTCACAATTATACGGTTTCAGAAGGTTAAACATTCTAAACAGCTTAAACACTATTTCCAAATAAAACCAGGAATAAGGATGACTATGGAGGAAAACAGAAAACAGTAGGACTATTAAACAAGGAAACAATTCTGGAAAAAAGAACACAAAAAAACTGGAAAAGAAACAACAGTATAAAAGACTGTGAATATGTATATAACCTAGGTTTTTCTAAACTCAAACTGAGTACATATCAAACTTTTTCTAGTGAGCACACTTTACTTCTTTAATGTTTCCAATTAACTTCAGGAGTCTTAATATTAAGCACACAAAGAGTGTACTGAGGTTACTTCTTTTGGTGGATTACTTGGTAAAATCAAATGAAAGATAAAATGATTATCCAATTGTTCAACTTCTTAATTTTTTCCCCTGCTTTCAAAGTATACATACATTGGGTTGAAAACTTCTGAGTCACTAACTAAAGAAATGCTATAAAACTGTATTTGAAAATAGCATGAAGAAAACTAGAAAGAGCCTAACTGAGCCTTGACCAATTGAGTATATTTAATTATTATTAGTGATAATCATGAGCATTATGCAAAAATTCTACCATTTACATAAATGACCAGACTGTCTGCCAATAACCAAATAAAATATCAGTCTTCCAAAAAAGTATACGAAATATTTTTAATGTGCTAGTGGCAAACTCCTCAGCCTATATAGAAAATGTTATCATATACTTAGAAGGTAACTATTACACCTTTTATATTCATATTAATACTGCATATAATAGTTCCACATATACTTGTCATAATATGTATTATAATAATTCATAAGAAACACTTACTGGGTAAATTTTTTGGATGGATGGAAGGATGGGTTCAGGTAGGGCTATAAAAAAAAAAAAGTTTAAAGCTTCCGTGATTCACATAATTCATTTTACAAAGCAATAATTTGTCAGCTACACCCCAGGCATAAGGGTTTCTGCTTAAATTCAACAGTCTCCATATATTTTGTGAATTCTGATCCCTAAAAATTTAAATTCCAAATATATCTAAGTTGATAACTTAAGGTTTGTTAATAAACTATGTATATTTCTATGTAAACCAATGTTCCTTACATGGTTTTAGAAAAATAGGCCATCAATGGACACACATCATTTGGTCCAACATCAGACACACACACAAAATAAGCAAGACAAGGATTGTTCTACAGATATTGAATGAACATTGTTAAGATGGATGTAGCTAACAAAAAGAAAATTTTTAAATACAGTCCAATGATACTGTATCACGAAAGAACAACAGCTGTATCATAATTGTCCCTTTATTTTTAATTTATTCTAATAATAATACCAAAATTTAGATAGTTTCAGGAAATAGATCTATTGGAGAGAAAAACAAACAAAAAAAAAACTCTTCAACTTCACAAATTTTTTTAAAAAAGGCCTCAGCAAAGTTCAGAAATATAAATCAGGATATTTGTACCAATTTACTATAAAAAATAAAAATTTCACATAAGGGAATTATTATCTTCATATGTTACTTTTTTTTTAATTGTCATTCTTCATTCTCCAATAACTTTACCGAAATCCAACCTCATTAAATGCATTAACAGTAATTTCACATCATTATGGTATAAAGGGAATAACATGAAAGGCAAAGTGCTTAATATTCACAATTTAAGAAACTGTAAAATAAAATGTCTTGAGTATGGTAAGATACAAATAATGTGTTTTCAAGATTTCTTTAAGATTAAAGACCAAACATAATACTATATTATAAACTATGTTTTTAAGAATTAGAAATACATTGTATATAATTAAGTAAATTCAGTAACCATCATTACCTTTAATTTGCAATTTAGCAAAAACCTTTTTAAATGACTTCTGGAATACATTAATATACATATAATCAACCATTATTACCAACTTACATAATCTCCAACTATGATTATAAATGTATAAATTCCTATTTCATAGTATTTAAATTTCTCTTCTGTATCATGCTTCATCCTCATGTTGAAATTGGAATAAAATAAAATTCCATGATACCCTGGAATGTTCACAGCATGTGATTGAGGGGGAAAACTTATTACTTACCGGAACCACTCTTAGGAAGTAAAAATATTTTTTCCCTGAGGCATTCAAATGCTCAAAATTCTAGAAGATCCTACAAATAAACTCAAGCCCCAGTTACTTTAATTCTAAAAGTCTTTAAACGTTTTTTAATAACTTTCTAATAATTTTTGCTATAATACAGAAGTCAAACTAGAAAATCTTACTAGAAATTAGTTTACTTAATTAAAAACCTGAATTCCTTTCTCACTGAATACTCCTAGTAGAGTAAAATTATAATTTAAAAAATAATAAAGAAAAGGTTATAGAGAATTAGAAAAAAACTTTATCTCATTCTAGAATCATATAACTAGAATGCCAGAAGAGAAAAACAAATACTAATCACTGGGTTAGGGTCTTTCAATAGACAAAAAACCTTTAGAACTAAGCAATTTGAGGGGCACCTGGGTGGCTCAGTCAGTTGCACCGACTCTTGATTTCAGCTCAGGTCATGATCTCAAGGTCATGGGATCAAGCACCACATGGGGCTCCACGCTGAGTGTGGAGCCTGCTTAAGATTCTCTCTCCCGAGCCCTCTGCCCCTCCCCCACTCACTCTCTCAGATGCGCCCTCTGTCTCTAAATAAATAATATAAAAAATAAGTAAATAGAACTAAGCAATTTGGAAATGGGGGGGGGCAGGGATATCATTCAGTAAATCCCTTGCCTGACAACCTTATACATTTAAAAACACTAGTCACTTGTGAAAAGAAATAAAAGAAACCTCATTTATAGTGGTGTGAGGAAGCCCTGAAAGGGAATACAGTGTACCTTGCATTCCCTAATAGGAAGAAGTTTACTTAACACACCCCAGCAGGATGAAGAAATAATTTTCTTGCCTAGCAACAGCCCAGCCAACGAGAATTCAGTGAAAACAGCCCCTTCCAGCTTCCTCCCCTTCCTCCATAAAGGCAAGTCCCTGGCCTCCATTCTCTGGATTTGCCAATGGTTGGGTCACCAGTTTGCTTGTACTGAACTGCAATTCCTCTGCTATTCTTGAATAAACGCACTGTGCCAGTAAAAAAAAATTGGCTCTTTTGTTTTTCAAGGCCAACACATTAAGAGCAACTGGTGTATTGTGGCAGTTATTTATTAACACTATCCTCATAGTAACCTCAAAGCCTTCAGTAGTTTTTCAAATGTTTATTTTACTCAAAGCAACACACATTCAGGAATAATCTGGCTGTAACATCTATTTTTACTTCAAAATTCTGGACTTCAATCTTCTAAATTTCTCTCTCAAAAGCAAAATAAAACAAAACCTAGTACTGCAGTATCTGATCAACTGATAATGCTCTCAGAATAACTACTCTGTTAAGATTTTATTTTGCTTACATTTCAGATGAGGGCTTTCTGGTCAAGCTCCCGCAAAGTTATACATATAAACATCCCAATCTGATTCATCAAAAATTCAACTAAAAAAAAAAGTGCAAATCTTCAATAACACTAAGCAACAATTTTGAAAATTCAAGAATAATTTTTAAATGCCTAAGATAGTTCTGTACCTGGTAACATGGTAAAACATTCTATGAATATTCATTTGTATCATTATTTCTAACCAGTTGATACTTTTGCCTTTTTTATTAATTATTAATCTTAGATTGCCATTAAAACCTCTTCTCATTGGGTTTTTACCCCTCATACTTTCATCAGTCACCTTTCAAGCATATGTAGTCTATTACTGACTGTTGAAATTCATCCTAGGAAATGCTTTAATTTTTTTCAACCTTTCTACATACAGAAGACTGCTCTCTTTCTCTATTCATGGCAAAAAAGATATTAAAAGCATTTACAAAGTTAAATGAAACTTAAAGGTCCATCCAATCCAACTTCCTGTTACAGATAAGAATATTAAGACCAGAAAGGTAGAATAATTTGGCCAAAATCACAAACACTACTTCACTATGGCAGACTGGAACTGCTCAATACATCTTGCAAACTCCTGTATGATAAAAAAAAAATGCAGCTACTAATTTCAGTCTAATTTCTTCTAGTGAGGGGCAGCTTAAATTTGCCAAATAAGTCAGTTATACTTTAGCTCTGCATAGGTGAGGTCCTTTAACAAAGACCCAGAAACAGTTCATGAGAGTGCTATTAATTACAAACCATCTCGGTAAATGGGACTACTTTGTCAAAAATAAAATGCATTTAACAAAATCTAAATAAAATTTTAGCATGATTTAACACTGGTAAAATACCAACGTTGGAACTTTCAACTTGCTTGCCAAACCACCTTGGGGAATCTGTGATTAAAGTACATTTTTCTTTTTTTCCCCCATGATTTATTTATTTGAGAGAGAGAGAGAGAGAAGGGGAAGAGGGAGAAAATCTCAAGCAGACTCCCTGCCAAGCACAGAGCCTGACTCAGGGTTCAATCCCACGACCCTGAGATCATGACCTGAGCTGAAATCAAGAGTCCAACGCCTAACAGACTGAGCCACCCAGGCATCCCTAATGTACATTTTTCTAAAGAAGGCAATCAAATTAAAATTTCTAATGTAACCCACAAAAATGGAAGGAAAGGACACATATTATGGATGTTCAGACATGTTAAATGCTGTAGTCAAATCTAATTTTTAAATCCCAACTAGTGTCTATTCATTTTTTAGTTTCAGTTGCGACTTAAGAAGTACATCTGACTAAACCTAAATAACTCTGGTAAATTTCTGGCACATAACTTTTCAATGTTTATATACACATGAATAAATATACAAACTCTAATACCAATACTATTTTTAAAATTGGCATCACGTTGTATATGAGAGTGTATCATGGGTATTTCCTTATATCATTAAATATCCTAAAAGCATCATTATTAGTGACTAACATTATAATTAATTCAATTATACCCCATTCTTAAAAACTTAAGATTACTTCTAACCTTCTGTTATTTCAATAAACACCATGAAAATCAGCCTTATATATAAATCCATACCTGCATCCCTGATATTACCTTGGATAAATTTCTAGAAATGCAATCGCTGAATAACACTGAGTCAAAGGATATGAACATAAATATTACAACACTGCTTTCTAAACTATAGAAATATCATTAACCCAGAACAAATCAGACCCTAGACATCCTGATAAAGGTTCTTCTATTACATTAATATCAAGGCTTTCGCCCACAACTCCATGCCAGTTCACAAGGAATAAAACTTCTTTGACCAAAAAGAAAATCCTGTCTCAAGTGAAAAATAAAAAAACACGATGAATGGTGTTTGAGCTTATTTTTATAGACCTTCTGAACATGCATGTGCCTCAACATAATGGGTCAACAATACAGAGGGAAAAGTTCTTTGAATACAGAAGTTAATACTGAAAAACTGTCAAAAAATAAAAAACACAGTGAAACTTCCCTTATAATGTTTTCCAGGGAATAACATTTGTGTTTTTTTGGGGGGGGGGTGTGGATGCGGTGGGCAGAAGGAGAGCGAGAACCTTAAGCTTGAGCCATAAGTACTTTCCAAAAAGTACTTAAGCTTGACGTTAGGCTTGATCTCACAACCCTGAGATCACGATCTGAGCCGAAATCAAGAGTCGGACGCTTAACTGACTGAGCCACCCAGGCACCCCCAGGGAATAATATTTCTAAAACATTTGCTCAAAGCAACGAATTAGGAAATATGGTTTTCTAGGCCTTAGAAATAACTTTTTAAATCAATGCTGTCTGAAGACAGAGGCAACAGAGAAGACATCATAATGAGGTTTAACTGTGTTTTCATTTTAAAAATTGGGGAAAACCCAAAATACTTACTTTGTAAATAGTGCAAAACCATCAATACAAGACTATAGCTGCTTAAAGTACCACGACTGGCATCATTTATCTCATGGTGACTCGCCCACTTCTTAATCACCAGTACTAATGGACGAACTCGATTTTCAACTGAAAGTGAAATTAAAACTTAAAAATGGTAAGGAAATATTATGGTGTCTTTGAAAGCTTGTAACATTTCCCAACTACAACAAAAAGAGCACTGCCTCCCTATTTATTAAACATTGTGTTCACCATAAATGTGTCTTGCTTTTAAAAGGTATCTTAGTCACCTTTTAAAAATTATTAATTATTAAAATTTGTTTTATTGACCTATAACTCCAGTAGTATATAATTTTAGTATAACAAAATATTATACATATAATAAAAGACACTATACATAAACATATTTAAAGAGATGTCAGTATTTATTACATCTTTAAAAAGGAATAAAGAATGAAGGATAGAGAAGGCTGATTATTATTTGGAGACAAAAAACTTACGGTATGCATAAGTTCTGAGAAGGAATGTGTTTCTTATTCCAACAATATTGTTTACATTCAAGTCGAATTCCACACAACTATGAAAAAGAGAGAAATACACTTTAGCTCAAGTGTTCTGAAACATTAGCTCAAGTGTTTTGAAACAAACTCCCTAGTAACTAAATTAATATTCATCTACCCTATGATGCAAAAATAGCATGAGCCCAAAGGCCAAATACTTTAAAATGAGGCACTAAAGAAATAAGAATACATACTCAGTACATATGATTTAGTGTATATTAAAAATATAAAAGAGGATTACAGTTGCAAGATCCACAATGTACTACACTAAGGCTCCAATTATTCCTAATAAAACAAATTTTAAAATTTTGCAGTCCTGTCCAGATAAACAAAATTATGTGACCAAAAACATTTCTCGCCAAGTTATCCCACTGAGTTATATAGTCTCAATTAATATGGAATTAAAGTGTCATTTGCTTTAAAACAACAGAAATAGGGGCGCCTGGGTGGCTCAGTCATTAAGCGTCTGCCTTCGGCTTGGGTCGTGATCCCAGAGTCCTGGGACTGAGCCCTGCACCGGGCTCCCCGCTCAGCAGGAAGCCTGCTTCTCCCTCTCCCACTCCCCCTGCTTGTGTTCCCTCTCTCACTGTGTCTCTCTCTGTCAAATAAATAAATAAAATCTTTAAAAAATAAAAAAAAACCAACAGAAATAAAATGCCAAATAAAGTACAGGTGAAAAAAATAGAAGGAGTCTATACATTATATTCCCTCCAAAAAGGATAAGACATAAATAAGATATAAATTATAATATCATACCAAATTTAGCTACTGACATCTGGGAAGAAGAGTCAAACACATAACAGAAGGGTTACATCTTTGAAAGCAAAGATATGCAATTCACAATTTAGAAAATAGGGCAATAATGATGGGATCTACAAAGAAAGGGTAAATCCAAAATAAAAGGAAAGATTAATGAAAATTACATTATGAGGCCCAACTTCCTCTGCACACTGAGTTTTTCTATGAAAAGACTGCCTAAAATAAAAACTTAACAAAATTCCTTTCTACGAACTTTTAATTATAAAAATGGAAATCTACCAATTCAGATTTTCTTGTTTTGGGAAATGAAATACTATAATCTCTCAATCAACCATGCATTTATTAAAAACAGATAGTAGTATTAACACTTCAGATATCATATATATTTGCCTTTGGGAACTTATGGAAACAATGGAGATACATTCTTCAATTGCATCTGTGAAAGGCTAACACTGAAACCAGTATAACTCAATAAAGAGGAAAAAACAGACGGAAACCAGTTTGCAATTAAAAACTTTTCCAAAAATATGATTTCAGAGCTTTAAAAATATCCACAGTACTTGCTTCAAATTCTACTTCTGGAAATACTAAACTAATCTTATATATATGGAAAAAAGTTTATGTACAAAATGCTTATTCTAACGGGAATAAGTTAATCACAATATATTCACTCATGAAATATTACTGTAAAGCCATTTAAACTGAAGCCAGAAAATAATCAATGATATAAGCAAATATCCATGACATATGATTAAATAAAAAAGTATAATCTCAATTTTAATTTTAAAAACTCTTATGCATTCATATGCATAGAAGAGGGACTGAAAGTTTTACACCAAAATGTTCACATCATTTAACTTTGGGTGTTAGAAGCAGACTTTCTTTTTTTTAACGTCTGTATAGAAAATATAAAATGGTGTTTATAAAGAACACTTAACGATGAAAAAAGTTTGTATAATAATCTTAAATAGAAAAAGAAATGCACCCAACAAAGGAGCACCCAAATACTTAAAGCAGTTAAAAACAAACATAAAGGAAATAATCGACAGTAATACAGTAATAGTGGGGGGCTTTAAAACCCCACTTACATCAATGGACAGATCATCTAAATAGAAAATAAACAAGGAAACAGTGACTCTGAATGACACATTGGACCAGATGGATTTACCAGATACATTCAGAACATTCCATCCTAAAACAGCAGAATACACATTCTTTTCAAATGCACATGGAACTGTCTCCAGAACAGATCACATATTAGGCAACAAAACAAGCCTCAATGCATTAAAAAAGATCGAAGTCATTCCATGCATCTTTTCTGACCACAACGCTATGAAACTAGAAATCAACCACAAGAAAAAAAACTGGAAAGAGCACAAATACATGGAGATTAAATAACGTGCTACCAAACAATGAATGGGTCAACCAAAAAAATCAAAGAGGTAATCGAAAAATACATGGAGGCAAACGAAAATGAAAACACAATGACCAAAAATCTTTGTAAAGCAGCAAAAGTGGTTCTAAGGGGGAAGTTTATAGCAATACAGGCCTACCTCAAGAAGTAGTAAAAATCTCAAATAAATAACCTAAACTTACACCCAAACAAGCTAGAAAAAGAAGAACAAAAACCCAAAATCAGTAGAAGGAAGAAAATAATAAAGATTAGAGCAGAAATAAATGAAATAAAAACTCAAGAAAAAAAAAAAAACAATAGAACAGATCAGTGAAACCAGGCCCTGCTTCCTTGAAAAGATCAACAAAATTGATAAACCTTCAGCCAGACTCGTCAAAAAAGAAAAGAGAGGACTCAAACAAAATCACAAATGAAAAAGGAAAAATAACGACAACCACAGAAATACAAGGGATTATAAGAGAATATCATGAAAAATTATACGCCAACAAATTTGACAATCTAGAAGAAATGGATAAATTCCCCAGAAACATATAACCTCCCAAAACTCAATCAGGAAGAAACAGAAAATTTGAACAGACTGATTATACCAGCAATGAAATTAAATTAGTTACCAAAAAACTCCAAACAAATAAAAGTCCAGGACCAGAAGTCTTCACAGGCGAATTCTACCAAACATTTGAAGAAGAGTTAATATGTATTCTTCTCAAGCTATTCCAAAAAAATAAAAGAAAAGGAAAACTTCCAAATTCATTCTATAAGTCCTGCTATTACCCTGATACCAAAACCAGATAAAAACACTACAAAAAAATAGAACTATAGGCCAATATCTCTGATGAATATAGATAGATGTGAAAATCCTCAACAAAATATTACCAAGCCAAATCCAACAATACATTAAAAAAGTCATTTATGACAATCAAGTGGAATTTATTCCTGGAATGCAAGGGTGGTGCTCAATATCTGCAAATCAATAAATGTGACACGTCACATCCATAAGAGAAAGACTAAAAACCATACGATCATTTCAATAGACGCAGCAAAAACACATGACAAAGTACAACATCCATTATAATACACTCCCAACAACACAGGTTTAGAGAGGACATACCTCACCATAATAAAGGCCATATATTGAAAAACCCACAGCTAACATCGTACTCAACAGTGAAAAACTGAAAGCTTTCCCCCTAAGACCAAGACAAGGATGCCCACTCTCACCATTTTTACAGAGTATTGGAAGTCACAGCCACAGCAATCAGACAAGGAAAAGGAATAAAAGGCAACCAAATTGGTAAAGTAGTAAAACTTTCACTATTCGCAGATGACATGATACTATATACAGAAAACCCTAAAGACTCCATCAAAAACAATAACTGATAAATGAATTCAGTAAGGTTGCAGGATACAAAATCAATGTACAGAAATCCATTGCATGTCTATACATTAATAAGGAAGCAACAGAAAGAGAAATTAAGATGCAATCCCACTTACAATGGGATTGTAAAAATAGAATAAAATACCTAGGAATAAACTTAACCAAGGAGGCAAAAGACTTACACTTTAAAAACTATAAAACACTGATGAAAGAAACTGAAGACAATACAAATAAATAGAAAGATATTCCAGGGGCGCCTGGGTGGCTCAGTTGGTTAAGCAGCTGCCTTCAGCTCAGGTCATGATCCCAGGGTCCTGGGATCGAGCCCCGCATCAGGCTCCCTGCTCGGCGGGGAGCCTGCTACTCCCTCTCCCTCTGCCTGCCTCTCTGCCTACTTGTTCTCTCTCTCTATCTCTCTGTCAAATAAATAAATAAAATCTTTAAAAAAAAAAAAAAAAAAAGAGAAAGATATTCCATGCCCATGGACTGGAAGAACAAATACTGTTAAAATGTCCATACTACCCAAAGCAATCTATCTAAAGATCTAATGAAATCCCTATCAAAATACCAACAACATTTTTCACAAAACTAGAACAAATAATCCTAAAATTTGTATGAAACTACAAAAGACCCAAAATAGCCAAAACAGTCTTGAAAAAGAAAAACAAAGCTAGAGGTACCACAATTCCAGATTTCGAGTTATACTGCAAAGCTACAGATACCAAAACAGTCTGGTACTGCCAGAAAATAGACACACAGATCAATGGAACAGGACAGAGAGCCCAAAAACAAACCCACGATTCTGTGGTCAATTAATCTTCAACAAAAGAGAAAGAATATGCAATGAAATAAAGACAGTCTCTTCAATAAATGGTGTTGGGAAAACTGAACAGCTACATGCAAAAGAATGAAACCGGACCACTTTCTTACACCATACACAAAAACTCAAAATGGATTAAAGATCTAAATGTGAGACCTGAAACCATAAAAATCCTAGAAGAGAGGACAGGCAGTAATTTCTCTCACATCAGCCATAGCAACATTTTTCTATATGTGTCTCCTGAGACAAGATAAATAAAGGCAAAAATACACTACATCAAAATAAAAAGCTTCTGCGTAGTGAGGAAACAATCAATAAAACTAAAACAATCTACTAAATGGGGTAAGATATTTACAAATGACAAACTTATACAACTCAAAACCCAAAAACAAATTCCAATTTAAAAAAAATGGGCAGAAGATATGAACAGACATTTCTCCAAAGACATTCAGATGACCAACAGACATGTGAAAAGATGCTCAACATCACTCATCATCAGGGAAATGCAAATCAAAACCACAATGAGATATTACCTCACACTTGTCAGAATGGCTAAAATAAAAAAACACAAGAAACAGTAAGTGTTGGCAAGGAGGTGGAGAAAAAAGAACCCTTTGTGCCCTGTTGGCAGGAATGCAAACTGAAGCAGCCACTGTGGAAAACAGTATGGAAGTTTCTCAAAAAATTAAAAATAGGACTACCCCATAATCCAGTCATCACATTACTGGATATTTACCCAAAGAATACAAAAACACTAATTTGAAAGATATATGCACCCTGATATTAATTGCAGCATTATTTACAATAGCCAAGTTTGGAAGCAACCCAAATTTCCATCAAGATGAATGGATATATGTATTATCTCACATCTACATGTATGTATGTGTATACACACACACACACACACACACAGAGGAATATTACTCGGCCATAAAGAAAAAATCTTACCATTTGCAACAACATGGATGGAGCTACAAGAGTATTTATAATAATACTAAGTGAACTAACTCTTTCAGAAAAAGACAAAGACAAATACCATATAATTTCACTCATGTGGAATAAAAAAACAAATAGATGAGCAAAGGAAAAACAAATGAGAGAGACAAACCAGGAAACAGATTCCTGTCTGTAGAGAACAGATGGTTACCAGAGGGGAGGGGGATGGGGGGAATGGGTGAAATAGGTGATCAGATTAAAGAGTACACTTATTATGATGAGCACTGAGTAATGCACAGAATTCTTGAATCACTATATTGTACACTTGAAACTAATATAACTGTACGTTAACAATACTGGAATTAAAATTTAAAACTTAAAAAAAAAAAAGAGAAGGCCTGGTTTGTTCAGTCGGTTAAGCATCCGACTCTCCATCTCAGCTCAGGTCTTGATCTTAGGGTTCTGAGTTCAAGCCCCACACTGGGCTTCACACTGGGTGTGGAGCCTACTTAAAAAAAAATTTTTTTTAATTAAAAAATTTTAAAAACTACAAAAAAGGGAAAGGAATAAAATTTTTATATAATTACAACTACAACCATATATTTTTAAATGATTATAATAAGCTAATAATTTTATTTTAGTTTATCTCCCTATAAAGTATTTGGTAAAAATTCAATAAATATTTATAGATTGGATGGATATTTGGATGAATGGAGGGGAAGGTGTGAGCCAGGCATATATCTAAGGATCTGTTTAAAATATATATATTCAGTCAATTGTAATTATTTGCAGTAGTTATGTTCTATAACGTCACTGTAAATACTGAATTAGTGAATACAAAACCACTGCTCCTAGGAAATTAGGTTTCTACAAGCCTTCAGTCAAAACATTTTCATCAATCGATCAAAACCTAACTTTTTTTTTTTATGTGTTTCCATTTAAAGACAACTTGTTCACTGACAACGAACTCATGACCAAGTGCACTGTAACTCATGTCTGAACAAAGCATATCTAATACATGTATTTCCTCCATAAGGCACATCACAGCTTTATACAAAGAAACCGTAGACAGTAACTCAGCACTATGCCAGGGGGCCATTTTAAACAGCAAAGGCACTCATAAAAAGCACCAAAATGTAAAAAACATGGCACTAACTGGACTGTGAAAAGAATAATTGTTTACAGTATAAGAGGTGAAACAAGAAGGCAGACTGTTACATTGTTTAACCTCAGTTAGGAACCTATACATTTCGTGACTCAGAATTTTCTCCATTCTGCACATGTCTACAAATAACCATGAAAATGCAGCTAGTATTAATTTGGAGGGTTACAAAATAAATTTCATCAAGTAGGCAAATTCGTAAAGAATCCATGAATAATGAGGATCAAGTATGTATATATTTGCACTTTATGTAAACAATCTCAGTATTACTTTTATAAAACTGGACTAGAAAATCTAATTTAACAATCCTATCTATTCTTTAGAAAACAACAAATCTTGTTTAACCAATGAAATAGTCAACACCTATTTACATTTTATATTCAGATATTATATAAAAGATTCCAATCCCCATGCCCATAACAATTTCAGAACCCAGGCTGGTAGAGTGTACCAACAGATGTAATTACATTTATAACAACCCCCTTGATAGAAATACACATCAAATTTCAAAATACACATAAATTTCATCAGTTAAGATATGTTCTGAAGAGTGATTACATTTCCAAAAGGCAAGAGATCATTTAAAAATGTGAAATGTAAATATATATACATATTCTTTAATATGGATAGTTTCAAACACTCAAAATGTCAAGCAGAATAACTAAGTACAGGTAAGCATAAAAAATTGCTCAGACTATTCCAAAAAATCAGCTCAAAGACCAAATCAAGCAGTTCTAAAAACTGATGAAGATAAGCGATTATACTGTAGCATACATTCCTTAATTATCTCCATCAAAAGTACATCTAAAAATTATCTAAAGCAACTGAAAAAGGAAGTTCAATAATTACTTACCTGACTTTATCCCTGAACTTCACAATTGGCACTTTTGCTCGAATCAGCTGAGGTCTCTCAATGTAGCCAGCTGAAGGATAAAAGATAATGTGAATACCTGTAAATGTTTCTCAAATTCATAGTGTTCCAATGCACATTTTTAAAAAATAGTATTTTACTAAACTAAAACAATTTAACAGTCTTTGATAAGAAAGCAAAGGAAGGACATTATCACATTCTTCTAAGACTGAAACTTCTAATACCATTTAGAGGAATTTATATTAAAATTCAGAAATGTCATCTAATATCTAGTAATAGTCATAAAGAAATTCATCACAGCATTATACACATGAAAAATATCTAGGCTGGCAGCAAGGGGATAGCTAAATTCTAGTATAGCACAAGGCAAAATATTATGGCAGCCATAAAAATCCTATTTATAAAGAGTCTTTAATGTGGAAAGGCCTACACATGATACATGGGGCAGTGATACATTTAAATAAGTATGATCTCTAAGTGGAAGAATACATGTACTCATATTTTTATTCCATCAAACTTTAAAAATTTTTTTTTAAATAATACATGTCCATTATAGAAAACTAGGAAAATACAGGAATATATAAAAAAAGGACACTGCAAACTTTTCCCAAAGGAACAATTTCCTAATGCTGTAACTAAAGAAAAGCATAATACCAGACTTAAAAATGATAATTTTTCCTGTTATAATGCTTTTACCACCAAAATCATAAAATACGTCAAGCTTCAAATAGAATTTGTGTGCAGGAATTCAATGAGGCTTCAATGAAAAATAAGATTAAGAGTTAAAAGTCTCAAGTTCCAGGTACAGGTTCTGAGAGCAACAAACAAACTATACTCCTCAGGCTAATTACTAAACCCACTGATCATCATTCTCCTTAACTATGAAAAATAACCAAAAAAACTTTTGAAGTAGATGATTTCTAACGTCCCTTTGTTTTTAATATTTGATTATTCTAATAACAGCTATGGAAAATCCACTTAAGGTATGAATTACTCCTTTACTTCACAAATGTGAAAACTTAAGTCCACTAAAATAAATCACTTCATTTATTTCTCTCCAACAGTAGATATAACTCATCCAGGGCAATAACTTGTCACTTGACTTTGTATTTTCCAGGCCAAAGCCTGACACATAGGAGTATCTGTTGAATAAATGGACACAGCTCTTTCCAACATCACACAGGTAGAGTGACTTAAACTGTCCACAATATTGTGGAAATTTAAAATAATTTGAGATGGCTTAACATGTAGATTAAAATTCACTTAGCTCACTTATTCAAGAATAAAATCTTACAATAAAATGGCCTAAGTCAATAATTTTGCTTTTTGTTGGAGTAATTCATTTACGGGCTTCATGTTCAGTGATTCTATTTTTAAAATGTGATGTCATAAACTGCATGTCATTGCAAAACAGATGAAATTCTCACTTCCCCACATGAATACTTTATCTGTATCACCCTTTTGGCTTTTCACAGATACTCTGCACTACAGCTATTCATATTCATGCTTTGGCTTCCCTAATAGTCTACTGAGAAAAAGAACTGAAGCTTATATATATTTGAATTCCCAGTGCATGCAGTGGGATTATCTTCTAAGTAAACTCAAAGAATTGTTATCTTTCTAATCAAGAGTTAAAAAGAATTCATTTGGAAAAAAAGGATCCATATTATACCTATCCTGACCAGATAAACAACTCTTACCAGAAAATAAAGTGAGAGACATATTAAATAGTTACGTCAGATGACATATGAACTTGAGGCATATGAAACTTACAAAGTCTAGTACAGAAGTGTTTATGGACTAAGGTGAGTATATGCCGTGCTTCAGTCTTCTGATTTACCTGAAAAAAACACTGAAAAGTTAAAAATAAAGTGTTTTTTCATTACCTTTCTAAATTTAGTGTTTTATTTTCTTAATGTTTCTCATCAAAGAGAAACCATACAAAGTAAACTTTTCTTCAGAGTTATTTTTCAGTATACATTAAATTACATTATAGAAAACGTCAACTTTAATGCTGTCTTTCACATCAACATTCCTAAATCAATTCCTAATCATAAACTTAAGGCAAAATTTTAAAAATATTAAAAGTCTTATACGTCATTTAACTTTAGTATAAATGGACATAAAGCAATCTTCTCCTAGAAAAACAAACAGAGGGCGCCTGGGTGGCTCAGTCAGTTAAGCATCTGCCTTCAGCCCAGGTCATGATGCCAGGGTCCTGGGACTGAGCCCCGCACCAGGCTCCCTGCTCAGCAGAGAGTTTGCTTCTCCCTCTCCCTCTACCCCCCACCCCCACTCTTATCCCCCCGCTCCTACTGTCTCTCTCTCTCTCTCTCAAATAAAATCTTCAAATTAAAAAAAAAAGAAAAAAAGAACAAACAGAATTTTAACTTTCTGTTAACAGATTGTATCCTTATCTTAAGGATAAGGTTCAAATCTATGGTGTCTCACTCTAAGTTCTGACATGATTCAAACATATGAACAAGAGAGGATTAGTAGGATGTGGCTGGGTAGAGTCTAACTCTAATTCTGAGAGAAAGATTTAATTAAAAGTCTAGTATTCTTCACTATGTTTATTATTTCCGAGGCTTTTTTTTCAAAGTTTTCCTTTACATGATTTCAAAGCCTAGAAACATGTCAGTTTCTTTCCTGGAATAAATCTCTTTCTGATTTGCAGTAACTAGAAGCCAATTTTGTTAATGAAATAATAAAAATAATAAAAATATATATTATGATTCAGTAGATATTTTTTGTATTTTTAAAGAGGTGAAATGTAGTAACGCATACAAAAACTATAGTGAAATTAATCTTTGGTAATTCAGAAGAGACCTCAGCATATTAAAGAGATTGCTTCAAGTTGGCTTAATGAACACCAATTGCTGTGGTATTAAGGACCCATAAGAGTATCAGTAAACAGGAAATTCAAACAAACATAAACTAAATAACAAAATTTGGTTGCTAAATAAAAATAAAAATAAACCCAAAATATCACAGAAAAATATATTCAATCACAATAGTATTTTTTTAAAAGTCAGTGAAATCCCTTTTTGTATTCCCAAAATAAGAACTCCAAACCCCATAGCATTTCTAGAGGGGAAAAAAAGATTAAAAATAGAATCACTGATAATTCAAACGGAAAGGAAACATATCAAAATAATACTGACACATACTCTTCTTGTTGCATCCTGGCAACATATCCAATCCAATGACATTTCAAAATAGAGGCAGAGCAAACACAGTGAAGCCATCTTACTTTAACAACTTAAAAATAAATTCTAAAATCCCTGTTATGTGTATTTGTGCGTATGCACATGCCTTAAAAGAAAAGGCATTTCCTGACTTTCCTTGAATTACTATGAAGAGAGAATCCAAAGAACTAATTAAAACAAAACAAGTTTTTTCCTTTAATGGTTTTTTCTGTTTTTTTTTTTAACTAGGCTCCACACCCAGCATGGAGCCCAAAGTGGGGCTCACACTCACAACCCTAAGATCAAGAGCTGAGATCAAGAGTCAGATGCTTAACCAACTGAGCCACCCAAGGCACGCCTCTTCAACAATTTTTATATGAAATTTCTTGAATGACTTAACATAAGAAGAACTCTTGCAATAAATATTTCATTACTTACTGGTTCTTCTTTAACAACTAGGCATAAATCACCATCACTGCTCCGGGTACCAAATCCATTTAAAGAGGACCCAACCAAAAAAAGTCTGCTTTCTAGAGAAATAGAATGGAATTATAAGGTATTATTTAATATTTGAAGTAGGAATGCATATACAAAGGGCATGCAAAATAGGGAAACATACGTGGAAATAACAGCTGAATTTCTCTCTGCAGCTGTGTTCGACACAGTTCTTTCTTCTTTAAATCACTTACTTGCTGCTGACATGCTTCAAATAACTCCAGTATCTGCTGACTCAACTTGAATCCACCACAAAAAAAGTAAAAATTTTGTTCAGAAATGTAAAAGTAATTACCATCCTAAGAAGTGTTGTTTTACACAGTATTTTAAATACAACAGTATTTTAAAAAAATAAATGAATATTTATCTCCTTAACATTTTCCAAAACTACTGTTACTCAATAGTTACTTAATAACTAAAATAGTTACTAACTTTTCCAAAGTAAAGTATCATTGATAAGTCACAGGAAAAGTACAGTTGGTCACAGAAAATTCTTAATGAGTATAAGCCTTGGGACAGCAAACTACAATTTTCACTTGCTGCCTGTTTCTGGAAGGCACATGAGCTAAGAATGGTTTTTACATTTTTAAAGGGTTATAAAAACAAACAAGTAAAGATATGCAACAGAAACATATGAATGGCAAAGTCTAAAATATTTACTATCTGTCCCTTTAAAAAAGAAGTTTGCCCAACCCAATATTCATACCACCAATAACAAATATTAACAAACTTTAAAAAACCCCTGGTGGTCCTTGCCCACGCAAACTGCCCTCCTTCCCCATTTTTACAATACTGGCTTGAACCCTGTCTTCTTACTGCCATCTATAGATAGATCTCCTTGTTCATCTACCTATCTGGTTTACACTTTCCCCGCCAACCCAACTCTTATCATCATCACAGGTAATTTCCTCATCTACAACAGGCTATATACATATCACAACATACTCCTACCATTTCTGAACTTCTCTTACTTCAATATTTTTCATCAGCGTTGCACTCCCACAGCCATAACATGGTCTTTACAATAAAAGAGAACAGACCTCTGAAATTTTAAATTCCAATATTCTATCTTGGCTTCAATCTCCTGTCCAATTCTTACTTTCTTACTCCCCTCATACCTGTTCCAGAACCATAAAGACCTGAGTTTTACTGAATCCTCCCTTTTTTCCCAGCTCATTAGCACCTGAGTGGTATAATTTCTTTCCCTATCCAGTCTATACCACAAAGTGCATCCCTTGAACCACTCTCTTTTGTCATGCCTTAACATTATCCCCTTGTCATGCTCAATCTAACATCTGTCCTGAAAAATCTTAATCTTAGGTCTATACAACCACCTTCCAAGTTCTTACATCAGAACATGAAACAAAAAAATTTTTAAATCACAAAACTGACCTCTTTCAACTTTATAAAGTCTAGCCTAAGGTTGGTCCTTAGCATCATTCAGGCTTCCATGCCTCTGGTTAGATTTTGCTCTCACTTCTCACCATCATCGTTCTAAAATCTTTACTACTTTCCTCAAGTCCCCTATACTTACCTCATTCTCTGTAGCAAATAACTTTACATAAAGTTTACTAAGAAAAGTGAAAATACATGAGAGACAATGGACTCTGAAAACAAACAGGGTTCTAGAGGGGAGGGGGGTGGGAGGATGGGTTAGCCTGGTGGTGGGTATTGAGGAGGGCACATTCTGCATGGAGCACTGGGTGTTATGCACAAACAATGAATCATGGAACACTTCATCTAAAATTAATGATGTAATGTATGGGGATTAACATAAGAATAAAAAAAAAAAGTGAAAATAGCAGATGTAACATTCCTCAGCTTCCTAACTGCAAAGTTCTGCAAACTAACATACCTGAATGAATCTCATCTCTTTATCTCTTCTGTCAGACAAACTGTTCTCTTCCCCTGTTCAAAGTTAATCCCTCTACCAATACTTTTGTTCCAGGGCACAAATACTTCCATGAGTTTTTCCCTATCTCTCTTGCATTTTCAGCCTCTCCCTCTCTAGGCCTTCCCCAGAGCCCATGTGCCATGAAGCACTAGTCTCACCCATCATTTAAATGTTTTCTTAAAACAGGCAAATAAACAAAACAAAAACAGAAACAAACTCATACATACAGAAAACAAACTGATGGCTGTCAAAAGGAGGGCATAAAGGAATAGGCAAAATAGGTGAAGGGGATTAAGAGATACAAACTTTGTTACAAAATAACTATGTTACAGGGTTGAAAGATAGGGCATAGGGAACGTAGTCAATAATATTGTAATAACTTTATACTGCTGTGACAGAATAATTACATTTAATGTGGTGAGCATTTCCTAACATATATAATTATCAAATCACTGTTGTACACCTAAAACTAATATATAATATGTCAACTGTACTTCATTAAAAATTTTTTAATTAAAAAAAGAAAAAGAATTTTTAAATAGATGGACAAAAAAATAAAACATTTTCTTTTGTCATGTTTAGAATACACATTTTAAGAAGGCAGAGGCAGTCTGGGCAATTAGACAATGAAAGAGACATCATTTTTTAATATCCCTTTGATAACAATATTAATATACTTAACATTAATATTTTAATAGTTTTTAATAACCCTCCCTCCAAAAAAACATAAAGCAACCAGAATAAAACAAACATATAAAACCAAACTAAAATAAAATAAAAGAGAGCCAACAAATACAAATGACTACATATCACTCATGAACCCCAAAATATGAGCAATTGGAACCAAATACCAATAGCGGCAAGACCCACATGGTACCAGAAACATTAAGAAGAAAAAAAGGAAAAAGATTTTGGACAGTCCTGAAGCCAGACCATCCAGAAATCAAATTGCCTATAGGTAGTACTTCCTGCCCCCTTCCTCAAATTGAGGAATCCAATTCAGAGTGGAACAGCAACCAAAACTGGGGGAGAGTTTCACAGGCTACATGTGAGAGTTTACAGGTAAATGCAAGAGGATCACAGAAAGATCAGAAATCTCAAAACAAAGTGAAAGCTCCCTTCTAAGACAAAGCAACACACAAGCAGAAACTGCCAGGAGAAATCTAAACTAAACAGTAGAGAGCCATAAGAGGCAAAGAAAACACGGTCTAGAACTAAAATGATTCTGACTCCCAAGGGACATATGACAATGTCTGACAACATTTTTAGTTATCATAACTGGGGGCAAGAGGGATGCCATAGGGTGGTCACTGGCATCCAGTAGTTAGAGGTCAGGATGCCACTAAATATCCTACAGTGAATTGGGACAATCCCTCACAGCAAAGACTATCTGACCCAAAATGCTGAAAAATCCTAGTCTAGCTATAAGTAAAGAAAAAGGAGAGAAAAAGTATCAGACAGTATATTTCTGAATACTACATAACTATAGAAAAGGATTCCTAAAGCCATAAATCTAGGAAAGCTAGTCTGCCCAACCATTCTAATTTAAAAGTAGTACAGGAAAAGGCATCTCACTTGTATTTGTATTTGTTAAATGCAAATTTTGGAATCTCAGAGAGGTGAGAATAAGAGGACAGAAAAAATATTTGAAGAAATAACGCCTAAAAAGGACTCTGGTCAATTTTCATACAAAGTTTTTGGATTTTTGTCTTGTTTTGTTTTTTAAAGATTTTTTTTATTCATTTGAGACAGATAAGAGAGAGAGAGAGAATGAGCAGGGAGAGAGGCAGAGGAAGGAGAAGCAGACTCCCTGCTGAGCTGGGAGCCCAATGTGAGGCTTGATCCCAGGACACTCAGATCATGACCTGAGCCCAAGGCAGATGCCCAACCATCTGAGCCACTCAGGTGCCCTTCATACAAAGTTTTTATAAGAAAACTGAGAATAGACTAACACTCCTACAGATAATAAAGCACACCAGAAAGACATGTCCACAAAACTATTGGAAATTTTAACATAATATATCAAGCCAAGGCTTTTTCTCCTGTTTTTATTTCCCAAAAAGATAAGTGACTATAAAGTATCTATACTAGTACTAACAAAAAAGAATTGGAAATCTACATTTTAAAAACTTATCAAAGGCAGCAAAAAACAGTAAGTATTTTAGAAATATGTTTACCAAAAGATACATAAAACTTGTACACTTAAAATTACTAAGTACTGATGTGAGAAATTAAAAACCTAAATAAATGGAGAGCTATACCATGTTCATGGATCAGGTAACTAGTGTTAAGATGTTAATGCTCCTGAAATTAATCTACACAGTCAATGCAATCAAAACAAAATAAAATACCCAGCATGTTTGTTTCTAGAAGTTGAGAAAGTAACTTTAAATTTTATTTGAAAGGCAAAAGACCAAGAATAGCCAAAAAGAAAAAAAAAAAAGGAAGAAAAAAGTTGGAGGATTTGCTTTATCAGACTTCAAGACTTACTATAACAGCTACAGTAAATAAGAAAGTATGGCATAGGCAAAAGGATAGATTAAAAAGAAAACAAAAACTACTGAAATATTTGTGAATATAATGATATGATACCTTTCATGTACTTCAAACAAATGAGGAAGAGCAGTATAGATGAAATAAATTGGTAGTTATGTTGGTGGTTTTTAAAGCTTAGTAATATGAGGATTTATGATACTATATTCTATTTTTGTATATATTTGATATTTTCCATTAAAACCTTTTCAAAAGCATCCAAGTTTAGGGGACGCCTGGGTAGCTCAGTCATTAAGCGTTTCCCTTCAGCTCAGGTTATTATCCCAGGGTCCTGGGATCGAGCCCTGCATCGGGCTCCCCGCTCTGTGGGAAGCCAGCTTCCCCCTCTCTCACTCCCCCTGCTTGTGTTCCCTCTCTCATTATGTCTCTGTCAAATAAATAAATAAAATCTTTTAAAATAAAATAAACGCATCCAAGTTTATAAAAGATTTGAAAGTGGCCAGTAAAGTGGTTAATATAAAATTTTAAATAACACTTAACAATTAAATTTTATTGATTTGCAGGACTGGCAAACTATGGCCTGTAAGCCAAATACTGTCCTTGAACTGTTTTTGCGGAGGCAGTAAGATAAAATAATTTTTACATGTTTTAAGCATTGTTTCAAAAAGAGAGAAAAGAAAAAAGAATATTTAACAGAGACCCCACACAGCCCACATGTCTAAATTATTTACTCTTTGGCCCTTATAGAAAAAGTTTTGCCGACCCCATGATCTAGAGAATCAGTTAGGCAGATCAACACAATCCTAGAACTAACAGTAGGTATTATCCTACATATAACTACATTTCTTGGGT